TTGGTTTATTAACCTAGCATTTGAGAAGGCCATAAGAAACATTGGTTTATTAACCTAGCATTTGAGAAGGCCATAAGAAACATTGGTTTATGCAAACGACATGGGAACAGATTTAACAGACTTGTCCAACTGTTGGCCAGCACCAGGGATCTCCAAGTTTTGGAGAAGCTTATGTTGTGAAAGCATAACTTCATTGCTTTTACAACATAGGCACTTAGGATATGCAGAGCATTATTGCGAGGATGGCAGATGGAGATATGCCTACATTATTGCTGACACAGACAATCTATGGAACAAGGATAGGAGGAAGACAAATTCCGAAGTGGTCAGAGGGTGTGGCAGGAGATGACCCCAACATCCTATGAGTTAGGAGGGCGTCGGCACAAGACTGTGATGAATGGAGGAAATGGTTGAAAAAGACCAAGCCTTGTAACTAGGTTGTAGTACCATGAAATAATGCTATTATAACTATAATTAATGTTCTCAGAATATGAGCTTCTCCGGTTTCCTGTTCTCTGTTACGGAGAAATTTATCTCAAAATTTGATGGGATTTATAAAATTGTCCATTATAGAGAAATGTCCACTAAAGAAGTTTCACTATATATTATGATACCCATTCCGTCACCCCCAGTAATTAAGACAGCATGACGCTTATGGTCCTCTTTATCATTTCTCTTAATTTAAATGTTGTATATATATATATATATATATATATATACACACATACACAATATGTATATTTTTTACTGTTGGCCACAACATCAACACAACTATGTCTATGTATGTGTGTGTCTATAAGTACATTTAATATTATAAATAAATAGTATATTGGAGGATTGATTGGGTGCCCATCCTTAATTAGCCCAGTAAACATTAAAAGGGGGTTCTAAGTTACATCGAATGGGGTAGAAGGTTTCATTGTCTTGTATGGGATGTAAAATCGCAGGTTTTTGACCGTGATAACACCCTCCTCCCTCCTGGATCATTTTGTAAAATCCCTAAAACTGCTATATTTATGCACTTTTTTCGGTTTTGACAATGAAGAAGCACATTTTCGACAAGAAACATTCTATACAGTTTTAAACCAAATTAAATATCCTAAAATTTAAAACCAGGACAGGCTCAGTAACTCGTAATAGTTTACGAGATACAGGTTTTCAAATTTTAGAACATGAAAATTTTTAGCTATTTTTTTGTTTGATCATATGCACTTGTCTTTATATATTAAATAAGCTGTCTTATATTTATTGAAGTAAATTTTTATTCATTTTCATTTTATAACCAAGTATTTTACTCAAATACTGATCTTTTTAGAGTACCAAATAATTTAATAACTACTTCAGTTGATGTCAAATGATTAATTGAAGTAGCAATTGAATTCCTAACAGTGATTCAATTTGAGTAAAACACTCGGTACTCAGAGTACCATTTGCCCATCTCTGGGGTGAGGGAGAAGCGGAGGTTTGCTGAGAGAGGGGGAGATCATTTTCACAGACAGAAGACTGAAATTGAAATAAAAAACTTATTTAATCAACATTTACATCAAGTGCATATCAAAATAGTAAATGAAGTGAATGAAATTTTCATAACTTGAAAATTTTAAGCTGATACCATGTTTATGTTTTCAATAACCTGCCTTATAAAAGTTAGTGAAGTAAACATTTATTTAAGTTATTATTTTGAAGGAGTAGTATACATGGATATAGGAATGGGTATAAATAATAAGAGCAATAAATAATTGAGCTAGAATGACCTAAGTCATTTATTCTGTTCGATCTTTTTCTGAGGCCTACGCCTATGTCAGTGACACTTTTCCGCTGATTAAGTGCATTTTTTTTAGAAAGAACTGTGTTTTAAATACATTAAAAATTAATCAGTGATTTATAAAGATAAATGTTTTCTCTAGATGTTTTATTTTAGGCTGTTTTTAGTTATTGTTTGATGTTTAATTACAAATGATGCTTGATTTTCAATTTTAGTTTGAATGACTGGAAAAAATTAACTTTACTAGTTATTTTTATTGCCAAGGCCAATTATTTTTAAAATTTGTTAATGCTTTATTATACTCTGACTACCCTGCTTTAATAAAAAACCAATTGTGATGAAATTAAACCAACTGCTGAATCTCAGTGACCGAAAAACTAACTCAAGTGAAAGGCCATTTTGGGACAGTGCAGCCAATTTTTTTTGTAAGAACATTGCCTTTTTTAAAAATATATAGTTACAAGGAACACAACTATATGCAATTTATATTGATGTAGAGGGAGGATGCACGAAAGAGGGGTCTGGCCCACGTACCCTCTTCCACCAAATCTTTACCTCCCCCCCCCATCATCATCCCTCCTTCAAAATATTAAAGTGAATAAATATTTACTTTGCTGACTTATATCAGACAGGTTATTGAAGATAAAAGACCATTATATATGATATGATCAAACATGAAAAATAAAATTTTAAATATGTATCTCATAAACTATTTAATTTAATGAATCTGTTGTGGTGTTAAATTGTAGCATATTTAATATAGTTTAAAAATGTATAGGATGTTTTTTGTCGAAAATGTGGTCCTTTATGGATAAAATGGGGAAAAACTGAAAAAAGTGTGAAAATTAGCAGTTTTTGGGATATTCAAAAGTGATTGGGAGAGGAGGTTGTCGAGGTCGAAAACTTGGATTTTGCATCTTAGTCAAATCCCTTACAAGAAAATAAAAAGAATCCTTCTACTCACATTCAAACAACTTACAAGGTTACTGGGTTATAATGCCAAGCAGACTTGTCTAGCTTATGTCCTCATCAGGATCCTTTACTAGAGCTCTGTTTTTTATTTTATTTTTTTGAAGTGGTGCTTGTGAATTTCTTTTATTTTTTACCCACATCTATGACATCATAAAATCCTCCAGAAGGACATCTGATCGTTGCGACGGATGGAAACACAAGACTGAGCATTTAGATTGATCCTTTTTATTAACCCGTTCAAACCTGCATGTACCACCGGTGGTCCACACTAGATTGTCTCACGGGGCAGCGCATTCGATTGTGCTATTAGACGCTGAAAATTAAAATAATTAAAATTTAACATATTTTCATTTAGAACATTTATTTTTAATTACAATTATAATTAATAACGTATCATAAACATAAGTTTTGTTCAATAACATAAACATAATAATACAGTATTATAAATATAATTCAAATTCTACAAAATTAACATAATAATTCTACATTGCTCTATTTATAACGTTATTATTTATTATTTTTTGTTTAATTTGTTAAAACATTTCAAGGAAAGTACTGGCTGACCCTTGCAATGCCCACAATACGTCTTAACTCTTGTAGTTTTGTTAGTGGCATAATCTCTGCCCTTTTTCTTGGACAAATTTTTATAGCATTCCTTGCAGCGTTTATGGGACACTTGCAGATTCCTCATATGATTGAAGAACTTGTTTATTTGACGGTATATGACAGTATATTTGTTCTTTGGCCACAAAGTGATCAATAATAACTTCCCTAAATTTTAAAATATTCATATTTTTAGTGCCCCATCTTTTATGAATATACCAGAGATTCACGAGGAAAGTTCCGCATATTAATTGTATCATTACTTTTCGGTACCATTTAATGGTTTTTCGTAAACAACTATAATACCCCGATAGTTGATCTGATGAATCAACACTTTTTTTGCAATATTATAATCAAACACAGCATCAGGCTTTATTTTGCCATTAGTTCCTTGTACAAATTTTCACTGATGATTCTTTGAGGTAGTGCGTCGAAGTTGCAAAGTGGGTCGAAACGTCGGCAAAAATTAAAATAATTAATATATTTTAATTTATTATTTATTTGACCGCACCCTCGACTAACTCCTTCTCATATATTATTTTAACATTTTAAAATTAATTAATTTGCAAGGCACTAGTACCTATGGAAAATATAGACACACAAATACGTATATATATATATATATATATATATATATATATATATATTTTTTTTTTTTTACAACTTTTCCTTAATCGACCTTAGAGTATTAAATTTAAACTTAACTATTTAATTGGGGATAAGGTCACTTATTAATAATTTAATAAACTATTGAATGTTCATTTCTTCTGTTTATTGACGTTTCGATCCCGGTATTTTCTTTTTATTAGTCAACGATGGGATCCTTTTCAAAGCTAGAATTTTAAAAAATAGAGCTTTGATCAGGCCAGGGACACACCGACAGTCTCAGCACCGTTCACTAGCACATATATTAAGCTATTTATTTATAATAAGTGACCTTATTCCCAATTAAATAGTTAAGTTTAAATATATATATATATATATATATATATATATATATATATATGTATATATATATATATATATATATATATATATATATATATATATATGTATATAATGTATATTTTTTTACTGTTAGCCACAATAGTTTCTCTATAGTTCAGGCCTGACCAACAGAGCGTAATGCACTATTTTATTTTTCTGTCCAAACTTTTGTTTCTCGTTTTATCTACACAAATAATATTAATTAAATAAAAATTTGCCAAATGTGAAGTTTGGCTGCAAAAACCAAAGATACTAAAATCATTTGAAAAAGACAGTTAAAGAAGGGGTAAACGAATATTTGGTTAATTAAGACGGGATTAGTTTTATTGAATCATTGTATAACAATCAAGTTTTATTCCTTTTTTTTATTTGTAACATTTTTTGTAATTATGTTTAATGAGAGTGCATCCCACTGAACCATTACAGTTAATCTAAGTGGCCTGTGAAGCCATTAGGATTGGCCAGGTCTGCTCAAGTTAAAAACTATTGATTTGAAAACAGCATCTCAGCTTTTAATTTCTGTTTTTATCCTCTTAAATGAAAATCTAATTCTTTTGTTTTGAATTAAATAGAATTTTTTTTTCTAGATATTGTTAACTTGAATTATAAACCGAATGGCCAAAGTTGTTTTGATGCTACATGACGATATAAGATGATCAAGAGATGAAGAAAGATGGGCCACTATGAGTTTCTACCTTTATGTGATGTCCTATTCAACATCATCTCATTGGCTGCTTATTTTTGTGATATAGTATTTGACCTTACCATGGCTTATGCTCTATATGAACGTCAGAGAGTTCTATGGTACTCTTCAACACTATTCTTTGCTTGCTTTTCCCTTTTAGTTTGCCAAGCAGTTTCTTGTCGTTGGTAAGAATTTTTTTTTCACCTATAATTTTATTACCTTTATAATGGAAATATAGTGCACTTTTTTCTGTTTTTATTTTACCTAGAAATTAAATTAACATTAGAACTAGTATTGAATATTGTTAATGTGAAAAAAATTTTAATAGCACAATATAGTATACAATTATATTTAATTCTTGTAATTTAAATTCCTTAAGTTTATTAAAAATTATTATTCAGTATTAAAAACTGTTGCATTTCCATTTCTTTATTTTTACTTTCACTTTCACTTTACTTTTACTTTCCTATATATGTAATGTATAGCAAGGGAAAGTATTGCAATCGTGAACATTTTTGACACGTTTAGAGGAGGTTTCCTGAATACAAATAATTTGTGAAAACTAATATTATTTAACATAAATCACATGTTTTAAAGGAAATTAAATGAAATTTACTAACTAAATGTAAACTTTTTTTAAGTTTGAAAAAAAAACGTATTTAAAATCCACCTAATTAAGGCAATGACATTGTTAAAAAAACTATTTCATAGTACTTATGTGAAAGAAGAAGTGAAATATTTCATGAATGTATACAGCATATGTTTATAACTTTAAATACATTTACTGTAGTTTGATAATTCTAGATCAGATTTTATATTTAAATAATTAGGTATCAACGTCCATTTATTCCAAAAAATTGTCGTAACTTTTTAGAAAATTAAATTAGTGAATAATTTGATGAATTTTCCCTTTGTTAAATTGAAACATTATCCACTTTACATTAGCGTGACAAGTTTTGATTTATCTATGGCAGGCAATGAAAATCTCATAATTTCATTTTAGTAAAGTTTACAGTGGAAAATAACGGTTTATTAACTTACAGGTGCACAATCCATAATCATTTATAGGTTGAATATAGAGATATACTTTCAAATTTCTCTAGGTATGTATATATATATAGCTCTGAGACTGAAGTTACTTGGTTTTCAAAACCAGGTAGAGTACCGTGGTTTTTATTGTCTACTGTTGATATAAGTAATAGGGTTTTTGTTATTTTAGTGGTCTTAATGATTTGTTAGCTGTAAGTTTTAAGCTATACCTCAGTTAAAAGTGCTCTTCAACAATTTTATAATTGTTCAACATTGCCAGAAAATAATTTTTATTCTAAGTAGAGGTTAGTGAAAGTTGTATGTTGCCCGCTCCAGATTTTTTATTGTGGTTTGCGTATTTTCTTACAATTACTTACATTCAGTGGTAAAGGCATACAAAAAAAAAAATGTTTGAGAGGTTAATTGGAGGGGGTGTTGTCTGCAAAGAAAAACAAACAAGTATGTAAATTTATTTTAATATGTGCTAACATTGTAGGTCTTAGGCAATATCAGGCTACAGTGTTCAGTTAAAAATCCCAAAGGAATTGAATGTTTTTATAAAGTGCATTGATTCTTTATTCTTGCATCTAGTAATATCTTAATGTTTAATTATTGTCTTATTTTACATTTCTGTAGTCTATAGGATGCATGGGCTTCACATTCACATAGGTAGTGTGCCTCTAGGCAAAGGCTTGTGGATTCTTCTACTAATTTCATCTTTTCGATATATTTTAGTGGACAGTGGCCTTGTTAGATCAGTCATTTTTCTCAACTTATTTATTTAAAGTTTTATTTCTTGTTAGCCGTTTCCTTTAACAAATTTAGGATAAGTTTGGATTGTTGGATACCAGATTTTGAAACCAAGTATGTTTCCTTTTTGTTGAATTCTCAGGTTTTAATTTCTTTCCTGACTAGGCCAGTAGATATGTTACAATATGGCTTAGGGCCGCCAGTCAACATTGTTTCTGAGCCAGCTCATCAGCTATTTCATTACCTTCTATTACTTCATGCCCTGGAGTTCACATTAGGGTAAGTTTATTGCCCTTTGCTAATTGTTTTTGGACACTGATTTTATTTCTTCTGACATGTTATTTTCTTTACATGTCAGAATAATAATCCCAATTAGTTTGTATTTTTCTTTCGCTCAGTTAACGTGGAGTGGGCTGATAAAGAAAACCGAATAGCTGTGATCGCCTTACACAAAGTTGAAAAATGTAGGTCAGAGATTTTCAACACTTGGAAACCTTTGGGTATCAGCCGTATGTTGGTGTACGGCTATATATCTATTAATAGATATAACGAGACCATATCTGTATGTGACAGACCTCGAACGGGCAAATGCAGTGAGAGCAGTGGCTGCTCGAATCAGAAGAAATCTCATTCGAAAACAAATCATGTCTTGGAAAATAGGAATCTCTGTCAGATCAATGTCTCGCATAATAAAAAGTGACTTTAGGATGGGAGCATTTTGAAGAATGACAGGACAAAGGCTAACCACTTCCCTAAAAAACATTAGAGTGGATAGATGCAAAGTGCTCCTTGACTGTTACACCAATGGTCTTCATCGAAAGATTTAGTGATGAGAACATTTTTACATTTGAAAACAAATTTAATTGACAAAATGATCGTGTATACACATACAGCTCTAAGGAAGCCCAGGAAATCATTGGAAGAGAGGAAAGAGGTCATCACCCTTCCTTAGTGATTGTTTGGTGGAAGAATTTGCTTTGATTGCACCACAAAGTTCCATTTTGTGAAAAAGGAGTTAAAAAAACCACTAAAAACTATCAGGATGATATTTTGGGACCTGTTGTGAAGCCTCTTAATGATACTCTGTTTGCTGGTCTCCGGGCGGGGACTGACTGCTTCAGGGGATTCATGGCGCATGTTAAAAAATAGGGATTTAAATATTAGTACGTGGAACGTAAGGAGTTTAAACACAGCAGGGGGATTAAAATTGGGTTTTCCAACAGGATTCCGCTTCAGCTCATAAGGCCAGGTCAACTCAGCCGTGGCTGCAATAGAACATTCCAGAGTTCATCTCTGCCTCGGATCGGCCCTCAGGAAGCCCTGATCTCAACCCACTAGATTATCCACTTTGGTCTGAAATGGAGAGGATGGCATGCCACAGAGCATACCCTAACTTGGAAAGCCTCAAACAATCTCTGGTCTAAACAGTTGAGCGCTTCCCTCAAGATGTGCTGTGTGCTGCTATTGATGACTGTCCACAGAGATTAAATGTCTGTGTCAAGGCAAAAGGGGGACATTTTGGGGGACAAAGAACACAGTAAACAAATTAGAACTGGAAATATAAAATAAAAACCTGAGACGAGTGTTTCTTTATTAATTCTTTATAAAGGTGTCAAATCTACAGTTATTGATATCATTTTAAAGAGCAATAATGCAACTTTCCAACGGTTTTAGAAACAACGATTTATTGTAAAATCCTGAAGAGTTATGAATTGTTGCAAATAACGCACACTTTCAAGTGTACACTTTAACAAAAAGATTATAACTATGATTATTTAAAAGATTACTGAATTTCCTACAAAACAAAAATTATCATTGAAATTGGACTATTATTAGCAAAGATTACAAAAAACTAACCTTTTTTAAATAGCCTTCTGGAGGTCCACGAAGCAGATGGAGAGCTTCCTTCTCAACAGTCTTTTCTGTTATTTGTTTCATCGTGAAGATGAGATCCTGCTTGCTTCTTTGATTCCTGAAGCCATACTGTTCTCCTAGTTGGCAGTCGACAATTTTCCTCTCTCTTGTTTCTATAATTCTAGAGTGAACTTTTGTAGGTATTTAGATATAGCATTTCCAAGTCAATTTCAACCTTTTCCAAGTCAAATTCAACCTTTTCCAAATCAAATTAAACTTTTCCAAGTCAAATTCAACCTTTTCCAAATCAAATTAAACTTTTCCAAGTCAAATTCAACTTTTTCCATTTCAAATTCAACCTTTTTTTATTTATTTGATTATTTTTAATTTTTCGATGTGTGGCGCTGATATCGTATGAGTAGTTTTTGAAAATAACATCCATTTTAAGATTACACCACTCCGTTTCAATTTATTTAAGTTTTTCGAATTTATTCGATATTAGGGTCTACTCCATATGTTTTTGGAGCCTTAGATTTTAAAAATGACCTCCATTTTATGATTTCACCACTGCGTTTTGACTTATTTAAATTTTTCGAATTTATCCAATATAAAAATCTACTTTTCCTCGCGCGGGCTCATTACCGCGTATGGGGAGCATCCCACAGGTGGCGGATGTGGGGATGGTCGGTGGAAGTTCCTCCAGGCTAAGTCCGATGGACTCGCTGACCAACAATGAGAGGGGCTCTCCAGACTTGCTAGAGGCAGGGGCCCACCTGACTTGCTGGAGGGTGTGACGTAGGATTGAATGCCCTACTCACATATCTTTATTTCACCATATACCACAAATAGTCATGGATCTCCCTAAGGTAAAACACTCATTATCCGGAGATAAACTAGTCCCCTATTCGGGTCTCCGGGCGGGGACTGACTGCTTCAGGGGATTCATGGCGCAAGTTAAAAAATAGGGATTTAAATATTGGTAAGTGGAACGTAAGGAGTTTAAACACAGCAGGAGGATTAAAATCTGTCACGAATGAAGTTAATGGGTACAATTTGGATGTCGCGGCTCTGCAAGAAGTTCACTGGTCAGGGGAGGGCTCGATGAGGGAAGGAAAGTACACTATTTGATATGGAGGAAGCGGAAATCATTGTTTAGGTTCCGGTTTTCTAATTAGGAATAGATCGCTATCCGCTTTGAGGGATGTACAATTCTTTAGTGACAGAATTTCGGTAGCTATATTTCAGGGACGTTTAGGAATAAGAATCCATTCTTAAAAATTAGAGTACAACGGTATTGTTCACCAGCTCTATCTCAATTTCAAAAAGGCTTACAATTCTATTGACCGCCAGAAACTGTATAATATACTAATCGAGCAGGGGATTCCAAAAAAACTAGTAAATCTAGTCAGAATGTGCTTGACGGGAACACTCAATAAAGTTAGAATCGGTTATAATCTGTCCGAAAAATTTGAGGTTCGTTCTGGTTTAAAACAGGGGGATTCTCTTTATCTGTCCTGTTCAATTTGGCATTAGAACATGCCATTAGGGAGATAATGCGTACCGAAAAAGGGTTGGATCTGGGTGGGACAACACCCGTGCTGGGCTATGCGGATGATCTGGTACTGTTAAGCGAAGACGTGGAAACTATAAAACTAAATACGACAACATTAATGAAAGCCGGTAAAGAAATAGGGCTCGAAATAAACGCGGATAAAACAAAATATATGGTTAGCTGCAAAAATGGCAATACTACTGGTGATATCGATATAGATGGTAATATGTTTGAACAGGTAGATAAATTTAGGTATCTAGGTTCTACGATAACTAGAAAAAAACGAAATTGAAGAAGAGATTAAGATTAGACTGAAGGCGGGAAATGCTTATTATTTTTCTCTGACTATACTACTTAGCTCGCGTCTCTTGTCCCAGAACTTAAAAATTAGAATCTATAAAACCATTATCTTACCTACAGTTCTTTATGGATGCGAAACTTGGCTGCTTATATTAAGGGATGAGCAGCGTCTTAAGGTTTTTGAAAATAAAGTATTGCATAGAGTATTCGGACTGAAGAAGGATGAGTTAACCGTAGAGTTCAGACGGTTACACAATGCCGAATTGCGTGAACTGTATCCGGGTAATATAATTGAGGTAATTTCATCGCGCGAATCAAATGGCTTGTAAGTGTTGGGCTTAGTAACGAGAGAATTCCTAAAAGGTTAATATTTGCTGTACCGAATGGTAAACGTCCGAGGGGTAGACGAAGCGAAGGTGGGAAGATTGCATTAAAGCCGATCTGAAGGGACTGGGTTTTGGACGGCGAACGGTGGAGGGAGGTGTGTAAGAAGCGATTGGTGGTGTCAGCATCGAACCTTCGGGTTCAATAAGCCTTTTTATTATTATTATTATTATTAAAGGTCTACTTTTATGTTTCCGGAGCTGTAGATTTTGAAAATGACCTCCATTTTATGATTACCCCACTGCGTTTTGACCTATTCAAGTTTTTCGAATTGATCCAATTTAAAGGTCTACTTTTATGTTTCCGGCACCGTAGATTTTGAAAATGACCTTACTTTTATGATTATGCTATTGCTTTTTTGACTTACTTAATTTTTTCGAATTTTTAATTTAATATTTAATCTCCATTTTATGATTACGCCGCTGCATCTTGATTAATTAAGCTTCATTTTGAATTTTTTTCAATACAAAGTTTCATCAATATGTTTGTGAGTATAAATAAATAAATATTATGAAACTAAGGTTATGAACCTCAAAACGCAAAGTAAAAAGCCCAAAAAGCAACTGGTAATAAATTTAACCAACCATATTCAGATTTTTCAGCTAAATGTTCGAAATCTTATAATTTTGTTACAGGAGACCACAAAATTACTAAAATTTAAAAATGAGACAATAAATATTATATTTATTTCGGTTGAAAAGTAAATTAATCCTTCGTATTTTTTTTTTTTTATTATTCGAGGGAAAAATCATAAACACTTAAAAAACTGAAACACAGTGGCCTAATCTTAAAATGGAGGTTATTTTCAAAAACTACGCCTCCAGCAACATAAAAGTAGACCCTTATATCGAATAAATTGGAAAAACTTAAATAAGTCAAAACGCAGTGGCGTAATCTTAAAATGGAAGTCATTTTTAAAATTTCCGTCTCCGGAAACATAAGAATGCACCCTTATATCAAATAAATCTGACAAACTTAAATAAGTCGAAACGCAGTGGCACAATCTTAAAAAGGAGGTTATTTTGAAAACTAGGCACAGGGCAGCATAATACTAATAGGTACAACAAAGCGATAGTATTTTGAAAAATTCTACTTAGGGGATCATAATAATTGACCTTCATATTGGAGGTGGGGGGGATAGCCCTCATTTAAAAAAAAAATATAAAATTTACAAAAATTTAAAACATTAATTTGAAATGGAAACGGTTGAATTTGAATTGGAAAAGGTTTAATTTGAAATGGAAATGGTTGAATTTGACTTGGAAAAGGTTGAATTTGACTTGGAAAAGGTTGAATTTGACTTGGAAAAGGTTGAATTTGACTTGGAAAAAATTGAATATGACATGAAAATATTACACTGAAAAAATCTAAAATGTTAGAATAAATGGATATGCAACAGCGTTATTATAATTTGTTTTGTATTTTTCAAAAGCTATGCCTTTGATAATGTAGTAAGTGGCCTTCATTTCAAAAAAAATCGAAAATTGACAAGAATTCGAAAGTTGAATTTGAAATGGAAGAGGTTGAATTTGACTTGGAAAAGATTGAATTTGAAATGGAAAAGGTTGAAATTGACTTGGAAATGCTATAGATAAAGAACTTTCGTATTTAGATAGATAAGGAAATGTCCTAAAAGTAAAATAAAAAATTACCGAAATTAGACTACTTGGTGCAGAGAAATGGTGTTTTGAATATATTCTATTGCCAAGTCAGTTCTTTTTATGAACTGAAATCCTTTTTTTTTTCTATGGAAAAAGTCGATATTGTTATCTGAAAACTAATTTGATTTTCCAATGTTTCAAAAAGGAAAAATGAAAATAAAAACCTTTTAAAGAGACGTTTTAGGTAATTTTTCAGAGAATTGGTAGGAATAACATTGTGTGACACGCCACACTTACCTTTGTGATTTATAAATATTTGAATGTGTATTTTCAGTCAAACGTGAGCAAAAAATTCTATTAAAACTGGTAAAATTGATTGACACGTCTAGTAATGGACTTCATGTTCATGGCCCAGTAATGGATATGGTCGGGCCCAGTGATAGACACCACTGTCTAAGACTGGTTAGAGATGTTTTAGAAAAAAACTAACATACCATGCGATTTTCTGCTTTTTATAGATTCATAAAACACAAAAACATGATTTTTTTTGTTTAAAAGTGCAGAACACCCGTAATGGACAAGGGTGTCCATAACTAGATTTGGGCCGATTTTTGGACCAGTGATGGACACAACCTAAAAGTCGTTAATTTCAATTATATTGAATGCTAAAATAAAATGCTAGCGATTAGTTGAGGTTCTAAAATGGTAAATTAAATATTTTTTATAGTTAAAACTAAAATTTAAACACCTATGAATGTCAATGTTGAACTTCCTCTTAGCAAAACTGTTACTAGGAACGTATGGAACACACCGATCTCAAGAGTACTATAGAAACAACAATGATAGACATTCTTAAATCTTTTGGGATGGTTAGGGTTTATACAGGGGTTTATACAGTTGTCAATAAAGGGCATTGTTCTTCAGTCTAGAGAATTTTTAAATCAACAAGGAAGCTTATTATTTACATTTAAAGTCCAAACTGTCCACCACTGGTCCTCCTGTCTATAACTGGTGTGTTCATCCTCATGGGTTTTCAAGTTTCAACCCTGATAAATTAAATTTATTATTTTATTTTTCATGCTAGGTACTTACGCAGTATAGATGCTCGTAACAACAGTGAGCCTCCTGAGGAGGGAACAGCTGTGCCGAAGAAGAGTAAGCTGTTTAGAAAGATGGTTATAATCTTGGTACATCTTCTACAGCTAGGAGTTCTTTGGAGATACTTTAAACTTTTCATGCCTGTGGATTTGAGATATGTCAAGTTTGAAGTTAGAGACTTATGTATTCTTCGATTGGTTCATGCTTTTTGCCAATCTGCTCCATTACTCTTAATACAGGTGACATCCCTTTCGTATTTTGCAGTATTGCTTTGTATTATTTGTATTTCAATCAGTTTTATTATGATTATTACTCATTTTTCACTAGAGTATGTTTTTATTCTCTTTTTATACGGACTTGCTGTTTTTTGTTTCTTATCTCCTCTAATTATTAGCCCAGTAACCTTGTCATGATAAGGGGGATCTTAGTTGCATCAATTGGAGGTAAAAGGTTTATTTTCTGATTTTCTTGTATAGGATGTTACTAAGATCCAAAATCCAAGTTTTTGACCTCCTCCCTCCCCCGGATTACTTTTGAAAACCCATAAACCGCTATATGTTTGCACTTTTTTTTGTTTTTGAATTGGAGCATGTTTTCGACAAAACATAATCTATACAATTTTAAACTAAACTAAATATGCTACAGTTTAAGATCAAAACAGGTTGGTTATTTTAATAATTTTTGAGATAAAGGTTTTCAAAGTTTAGGAAATTTTTTGAACTTGAAAATTTTAAGCTATTTTTGATGTTTTATCATATTTGATTGTGCTTATATCTTCAATAACCTGTCTTTTATGACTCAGTGCACTAAATTTGTATTTATTTTAACATTTTGAAGGAGGAGTGAGGGAGGGGGGAAGTTTGGTGAGAAAGGGGAGGATCACTTTTTATAACAAGAAGTCTGAAATTGAAATAAAAAATTATTTAACAAACATTTACATCGAATTCATGCAAAAATTGTAAATGAGGTGAATGAAATTTTCATAACCTGAAAATATTTAGCTAATTGTTATGTTTAAGCCTTCAATTTCCTGCCTTATAAAAGTTAATGAAGTAAACATTTATTTAATTAATTATTTTGAAGGAGTAGGATACATAGATATATGAATAGCTATAAATAATAAGAGATAGAAACCATATGTTTATCTAATTAATAAGTTAATTGATATAATAAGTGAGCTAGAATAACTTAATTCATTTATTGTGTTTGATCTTCTTCCTAATAAACTAGCGGTCAGCAAAAAAAGGGGCTTACCGTGCCTTTCAAAACTTTCCTCAACTCAGAAATTTTATTTCAGAGACCAGTTTTAGATATGGGGGTAAATCATAGCAAAAGAAATAAATATATTAAAAAGAGAAGTAAAAAAAAAAAACACTAGAAAAAAGAAATTCTGCTTTAACAGTTGAGAAGATCCAAAATCTTTGAAAATATAACAAGGAGCTGATAGAAACATTATTTGGTTGAAGAAATATGTAAGACTGCCCTACAAAAAAATGTTGTTTGCGTGTATCTTTGATGAAAACTGTTTCTCTTGACTAAGTTTGGTGTGAGAAACTCGAATTTTCTGTCAGAATTCTTATATTAGCTACCGTTCTGCAGATACATATACTCAGTTTCGAATACAAAAAATTAGGTTATTGGACGTAACACGATCATTTTTCAGGCTTTAAAAATGCTTTATTATTTGTGAAATATTTTTACAACCGTTAAATTACATCTTCTGTCAGCAAGAAGAACGCTATTGTACAGTTTATTTAGAAAGTTTCTTCTTTGCGTGACGATTGTACTGATGTTCTGGCAAATCCCTCTCAACATTCCAACAGTAGTCTGTGAGTATTGAAGTATCCCACCGACCTTGATATCTTTGTTCCACCAAGAACATATCTTAGTAAAATCACTCGCCATGTTCGTCACTTACAGATCCACAATTTTTGGGAAAGAAGTCCAAACGAGAGTGAAGAAAGTGAATCTTGAGTGACATGTTATAACCGAGACCTCTGTACTTTTCAAGAAGGGTTTGAACTAAGACAGCATAATTGTCCTCTCTTTTGTTACCCAAGAAACCATTAACTAAAACTGTAAATGCTTCCCATACTGCTCTTTCTTTACCCTGAAGAATTACCCCGTCATTAAGAAGTTCATGGATTTGTGGACCAACAAATACGCCCTATTTAACCTTAGCTTCACTTAAGCGAAGACATTGTAATCTTTGCACCAAATTGTAAGAAGTTCCATTGCTTCAATTTTGAATCCAAAAGTGCTGCTTTCTCTTTGGGCAGATCCAGGTCCCGAATCAAATCACTGAGTTCAGCTTGAGTAAGCAAGTGGGGTTTTCGTTCTTCTTGTTCAAAAGAAAAATCAGAATCATCTGATGGGGTTCCTACTAGGGTATTTTCCTCTTTATAATCCTCGTCATCATTCAAGTCAATAGTGTTCAGGAGGGCTTGGAATAGACAATTCGTCCCCGTGTGGTATTGTCCATATAGCAGAAGGAATGTCAAAATATTTCACTTCAGATTTATTTTTTCGAGAGAGTACATGATGATAAGGAAGAGTCTTGCAAAAGTAGCAGTTGTCAGTGTGATTAGTTGGCTCCCTCCTCATCATGGGAACAGCAAAACGCATTGACCGACCTTTCTTCTTCAACCATTCTCTTAAGGTTACGCTACATGTGATGCAGCAGATGTGCGGGGCCCACGGTTTATTTTGTTCACCAATCTTTACCCCAAAATACTTGTGGTATGCTGTCTTGATCATCTGGGTGATAGTAAACTTTTGACTTGCAAAGGTTACTTCCCCACAAATGTAACTAAAGTTGTCAGGAGCATTCACATGCTTCCTGGGCATTATAACTTCACCAAAACTACTGGGTTATCACGATATAATCGTTGAAAGAATGCCTCCTGAAGCAAGAAAAATCACTTCAAGAGTAACTTGAAATGTAAACACTGCATACAGCTGTCATCAAAATGGTTCTGTGAGTCACAGCTAGTCGTTTCTCACGATTTGCAGACAGAAATCAATCCTACCAACTCAGGAGCAGAAAATTTCCCCATATTATGCAAAAAGTAACTATATCTTTAAAACTAGAACTAACTGATGATTTTTATCTGGAAATTCGAATTTCTCACACCAAAAAACATAGAATGAGGCTGTTTTCAAGTGAGACACAATGTAGAGTAGTGTAACAGACAGATTAAGAGAGTATCACTATAACTATGCCATTTATGAGAACTGAATGAGGTGGCAGAGGACTAGAGGCACCTATGTCAGTGCCGCTTTTAAGATAATTAAATGCAATTTCTAATGATCCATTTCAAATATATTAAAAATTAATCGGTGAATTAGAAATATAAATGTATTTTCTAGATGTTTTATTTCATTTAGGCATTTTTCGTTATTGTTGGCCGTTTAATTACAAATTAAACTTGGATTTGGCCTCTCAGTAACATCCCATACAAGACAAAAATAAATAAACCTTCTACCTCCATTTAATGCAACTTATGATGTACACGGTTACTGGGTTATATAGCTATAACCCATATGTACCTATATGGCTATATCTATATATTTTTTTTTTCTGTTTTTTCTATTCTCACATTACAACTACAAATATTATTGAAAAGACTTTATTTCTATATATATATTTTTTGTTTACATATTATTAGTTAAATTACTGTATATATTGTTAGATTTTTTATTAAGTTAGTCTTTGGCGAGATATGTACCTTTTTTTGAATTTTGTTTATTATTGTTTTTCTGAGGGGACTGTGTCACAGAATAAAGTTTCTGTTTCTATTCTATTCTATGTACAATATATAGTAAGGAAAAGTATTGCAATCGGGAAAATTTTTTAATCTGAGTCTTCAACAGAAATATATTTTTTGAAGTTCTCTGAGTCCAAATAACGCAAGTCCAACAAATGGTCAGTGTATGTGTGTTTTTTTTATAAAGGTAGGTGGAAATGTTCAAAAAGAAATTAACAAGTCCGTACCTATCCGTGTGTGGGATTTGTACCCACTAAAACCTTCTCTCTACACCTGTTTCTCCCACCCTCCACAGGGCTACCGTTAGGCATTACTTCATGAAGGGGGAGTGGCTGTGAGCTGCCTCATTTCCTCAGCCTACCTTCTGGTTCACCTTTCCTTCTCCTCACTCCTTAGTATCTTGATGACCTGCGCTGCAAAGTGTTGTCTAGATGTCCAGCGCTCTTGGGTGAGCAGCATCAGTCCGACGGGATTATCAGCTGTTGGTTCTGATCCGTAGGCATCTCGAAATTCCTCTTTCTTCCTGGAAGCGGTGACAGTAGAAGAACACATGTTCTGCACTCTCTTCTATAGGTATGCACTCTGGGCTGTTCTCTCCAGCTTAAACCTATACTGGTAGGTTCGAAAGCATCCATGTCCAGTAAGAAGCTGAGTAAGGTAGTGGTCCACTTCCCCTTGCTTCCTGTCTATCCAGGATTGGATACAAGAAATCAGTCTGTGTGTCCATCTTCGATCAATTCTGTATTCCAGTGTTGTTGCCATTTCTCAATCGTCTCCTTTCTTTCTTCGACCCTTTAATTTTTTTACTTTGAATTAATTAACTATTTCACATTGATAACTGATCAAATATAATGAATGAAGAAAATTGATTAGGAACTAAACGAGAAATAAGGGTTGGAAGCTATACGGAAACAGCTGAGAGCACCCGACCTTTGCCCCGATCCTTTCCCTTTATAGATATCCGGTACCCCTCTGTACGGGGCTTTCATATTGTTAATTTAACTTTAATTTATCACTTTAATTTATCCATAATTTTTTAAAAAGGCTTTTATGTGAAATGTTGAGGATCTACTAATAATATATAATATTTACTAATGTTAAGTTATTTTTTCAACAATTTTCGTGATAAATCCGATGAATCTCAGAATTTTTCCAAAAAGATCAATTTTTTTTCCTCTCAATCATTATCAATATTTGATTCTTTGCGCAGTTGTAAAAGGAAATAAAAAGTGATGCAAACATGTAAATTTAACATATTCGATGAGCAGGAAAGACATAGTAATTGATTGTTTTAGATGAAATTACCATTTTCACTATATAAATGAATGACTATATATGAGTCCTATATAAATAAAATGCCTTTCTACTCTAAGGCTGCTAAGTGATAGTTGGGTGATACGCTCACCACACCAGATTTTTTCATTCCATGGTAGTCTCGGTTTTTCATTAGCTCTGTTATTACTGTTTCATTATTTCCAGTGTATTTATGATCAACCTAATCTCATTATTTCCTTATTTTTAGCTCCTCCTATTGGTTCACTTTCTGAATCTACCATCTCCTACGACTAATATCCTATTAACCTGTCATGCCAATGCAGTCACTTTTAGCCCACATTGATGAATTCCAAAATTTTTTTCTCCACAAATTCTACCATCTATCTAATCACTGTCTCTGAAACCCATGATCCCATCCTCTCAAGCATTACTCCCTAACTGTACCCAATTCCGTTAGGGTAGAGTAAATTGAACCATTGGCAGATTAGCTTTTTTTGTCCATGATATCCTGAAATCAAAAATCCTGGCTTTGTCTCCTCTTTACGTTTCCCCATATATCAAATATCTTTTTGAAGGAATATCCACCTCCTTATATCCCTTACTTTTTGGTGTCATCTATCGACCACCTAGGGTGCCCTTTGATGAAACATTTGAGTCCATCCTTTATGAACTGATCCCTCCCTACTCTAATATTGATTTTTCCGGAAACTTCAACACCATTCTGTTATTTCCTTCCTCTGATCAAACTTACTTATCAAACCTTCTCTACTCCCTTATAACCCTATCCATCACACCCAGTACTCTAACTCTTGACTCGATTTCTACGTTATTGATTCTTCTGATGAACTCCTAGCTTCATTGCAATATCCTGTTTTGGTGTTCTTCTTTAGACCACTATCTTTTGGAAACCTGAATTTTGTATCACCTGAAATTCTGATGCCTCATCTTGACAATCAAATATCCTGCAGCCCCTTGGCTGACACCTACAGTGAAAGATTGTATGAAATGAAGGGATGCGGCTAGACAGAGGTTTAAATGCATACGACTTCCCGAAGACTATACCTACCTCAAGCTCCTTTGAAACAGTACTCAATCCTTAATACACCATGCCAAATCCCATTACTTCCAACAATCCCTGTCCAGCACTCCAGACTCTGAAGCCAAGTGGACAACCCTCCATAAATTGTCCATAGGTAAAACCACCCAGTCTACTTATATTTCAGTCGACGTACTCATTGCTCACTTTGTCTCCTGTTCCTCCCATTCCTTTTTCGCAGCACCAGCTCCAGCCCCCATTCATCCCTTCTTTAATCCTAATCATTTTATCTTTTCCCATATTACGACCTACTTAAGTCCATTCATAAATCCCAAACCAATGATTTCGGACCAAATAACATCCCAATTAAATTGATTAAATTCTCATTTTCATTCATTTCTCTATCCTTTATCTTATTTATAACCTTTCATGACAATGTTCCTCTTTCTCCAGTACCTGGAAAACTGCTCTTGTCTGTCCACTGAATAAAATCTCTAATCCCACAATGGTTTCCGCCTAATTTCCCTGTTATCTAACCTTCTGAACGATTAGTTCCATCCCAATTATAATCACTATCTCAAACAAAATAACTTTGTGCACTGCTTCCATTCTGGTTTCAGTCCTGACTACTGGACTCATTCCGCCCTCATTAAAATCTCCCAAGATCTCCACACAACTATAAACCAACAGAAACTAACCATCCTTATTCTCCTTGATTTTTCCAAAGCATTTGACTTAGCAGACCATAAAATCTTCCTAACCAAATTTAAAAATATTTCCTTGTCATCTAGTGTCTTTAAGTGATTCCAATCCTTCCTTACCGGCTGCTCCCGTATGTTGTAGTCCCTAATGATCCTCCATCAGTCTCTACTTTTGTCCTGAGGTGTTCCACAAAGTACCTCCTTATCACCCTCCCTCTTTTCCATCTATATCAATGACCTCCCTTCCTCTATCCTGCACTGTCAATACCACCATTATGCAGACAAAGTTCAAATTTATATTTCTTTCAAACTGGCTGATTCCTCTAATGTCATACTAAAACTCCAGGAAGATATCAACAGAATATGTGCTTGGGCAAATTTCAATAAGCTCACCTTATATGCCGAGAAGATAAAAGCCATCCTGATTGGATTTCCCTCAATTCTGAAATCCATTCCTGTACCTCCCGATCTTCTCTTCAACAACTCACCTATCCCCTTCCATACTTCCGTTAATAACCTTGGGCCCTTGTATACCTTTGATAAAACTCTCTCTCGAAACCTCACATCTTCCAAATTTGCCTTTGTTCTATTTCTATCCTGAAACAGTTCAATGGTCTACGCTATCTCCTTCTATTCAAAACCTGTCAACTCCTGGTTTCCTTTCTAGTTTTTCCCCACTTTGACTGTGGCTGTATGATGTATGGCAGACTCTCGGGGGAACTGGTTAGCCAAACGTTTTGTCTTCAGAATCTCAAGAAATACGCATATTACCCAGTATTATCCCGAGTTGAAGTGACTATCCGCCCTATCGCCATCAGTACTTCCTTGTTGCCTTCCTATATCGGGCTATTATAACTCAGCAACCCTCCTATATTTTACAGAGCCTACAATTTAAATCCTCCATTCAATCCCGTCCAACCAGATCCTATACATCTGACTTCTATCCTCCTCAACTTGACGAATCCTTTGTAATTCAAGCCGTTTCCCTCTGGAATTCTATTCCTCCTGATATTTGACACACACAATCAGTTTATTCTTTCAAATCTCTGCTCTTTAAGCACACATTCCATTCCCATTGATCATGAAAGCACATAAGAGAACTCTCTAAGTATCCCCAGATACTATTTTGTATATTTATTTGATTTTATCTCTCTCTCTCTCTCTCTCTCTCTCTCTCTATATATATATATATATATATATATATATATATATATATATATATATATATATATGTGTGTGTGTGTGTGTGTGTGTGTTTTTTTCTATCTTTCTATTACCTATATTTTTACTTTATGTTACCAATTCCCTTTTAAGTTGTGGATACACTGTTATATATACTTTTAAGTTATATTCTGAATTTATAATTTGTTTTAAAGGGAAACTAGTCCCAGAACAATAAAATTATTTTCATTTTATATTGCTAGAACTATTAGTTTGTGTATTAAAAATTTCATTGATACTGTATGTAATGAATTTATTTATAACTTTTCAATATACTTTACTCTGATATTGATCTTTGACAGGAGCTTTTTAATTTAAATGATGATCATTATAATAATATAAATATTCTTATGATTACCCATTCATTAGTATATATTTTAAAATTGAGTTTGTTATTTCCATTATTAGCTACATCTTCTTATGAATGAAAAATTTGATGAAGACTTCACAGACTTAAATATAGTCTCAGTAAGCTTGTCATTATTCAGTGTTTGCTGGGCCTTGGCATCATTTAGTAAGAACGTGAGGATGCACAATGTACATAAACTTGTGCTCACTTGGCTTGGTGTGATTTTTCAGGTTTGTAAGTCTGTAAACATGTTTATATATTTATGTACAAGCATTTGTCTATATTTTTGTGTTGTTTTTTTTTCCTTTTGTGGTTACCTAATAATGATACCATGCATTGATTGCGACATAATACATACCCCATTTGTTGAAATGTATGTTTAGGGAAAATATAACTTAAAAAAAAAAATATATATATATATATTCTTCCATTATAATATATATATATATATATATATATATATATATATATATATATATATATATATATATATATATATATATATATACATATGTACAAATTTAATTGTAAAAAAAAAAGTGTTTATATATATTGTAATATCGCTTGTATTTTTAACTAATAATAGACCTCGAAGATCACTTCATATTGTAGCGATATATCCAAAAGAAATAAGAGGTTGTTAAATAAAAAAACAAAATTATATGAGTATTAAATTGGACTTTATAATTGTTTTATCTCTGGTATGGGTTACTGACAATCAGATCATAAAAGACTCAGACTAAAATTATTTTCACTAAAAACTGTTTGATTTTAAAATAAAGTCATGTATGAATTGTTAAGCTAACCTTTTTTGTATATGCACTGTTTCTTCCATAGTGGCACTGAATTCATTTGTCTTTTAACACTTTCCAAAGTTCTGCCTAACACAACTTCCAAAATGGTGACACTTTCATCTACTCAACTCAAGCTCCCTGGAAGGTCCTCTTGTAAATCCAAATAACTAATGTCTCTGCTATACAACAACTGCTTGCCAAAACAAAAATCCTTTGTCCCTCCTTTCTTTGAGATTTTCCTTTTTGGGGAAAATTACAGAGCAGCCATTTTATTTTCCCAGAACTAGTGAAATTTTTTTTCAAATTTAAACATCTGTGTTTCGTTTTTTTAAAATTTTCCTTTGAAAAAAAATATGAAGGATTAATTTATTTTACAGCTGAAATAAATAAATATATATTTTCTCATTTTTAATTTGATTTTAGTTTTCTTTTTTAATGTTTCGGTATCCTCTCACAAAATTATAAGATACAAATTTTGAACAATCAGCTGACAAATCTGAAAATGGTTGGTAAATTTATTACCAGTTGCTTTTTTTGCTTTTTACTTTGTATTTTGTTGTTTAATTTAACCTTAGCTTCATAATATTTATTTATTCATACTTGAAAACATATTGATGAAACTTAGTACTCAAAAAATCCAAAATCAAGGTTAATTAATCTAGATGCAGCGGTGTAATCTTGCAATGGAAATCAAATATTAAATAAATTTCAAAAACTACGTCTCTGATTACGTATAAGTAGACCCTTACATCGAATCAATCCGAAAAACTTAAATTAATTGAAACGCAGTGGCGTAATCATAAAATGCAGGTCATTTTCAAAATCAACAGCTCTGGAAATATAAGAATACACCCTTATATCAAATCCGAATAACTTAAATAAGTCGAAATGCAGTCATCTTAAAATGGAGATTATTTTCAAAAACTAGGCATACGATTACATAATACTAGACCCATATATCGAATAAATCCGAATAGTTTTTTAGAATCCGAATAGAATTTTTTATAAAACTAAATACGACAACATTAATGAAAGCCGGTAAAGAAATAGGGCTCGAAATAAACGCGGATAAAACAAAATATATGGTTAGATGCAAAAATGGCGATACTACTGGTGATATCAATATAGATGGTAATATGTTTGAACAGGTAGATAAATTTAGGTATCTAGGTTCTACGATAACTAGAAAAAACGAAATTAAAGAAGAGATTAAGGTTAGACTGAAGGCGGGAAACGCTTGTTATTTTTCTGTGACAAAACTACTTAGTTCGCGTTTCTTATCAAAACAATTATCTTGCCTACAGTTCTTTATGGATGCGAAACTTGGCCGCTTACATTAAGGGATGAGCAGTGTCTTAAGGTTTTTGAAAATAAAGTATTGCGTAGAATATTCGGACTGAAGAAGGATGAGTTAACCGTAGAGTTCAGACGGTTACACAACGCTGAATTGCGTGAACTGTATCCGGGTATATAATTGAGGTAATTTCATCACGGCGAATCAAATGGGCTTGTAAAGTTGGTGGGCTTAGTAACGAGAGAATTCCTAAAAGGTTAATATTTGCTGTGCCGAATGGTAAGCGTCCGAGGGGTAGACCGAAGCGAAGGTGGGAAGATTGCATTAAAGCCCATCTGAAAGGACTGGGTTTGGACGGCGAACGGTGGAGAGAGGTGTGTAATAAGCGATTGGTGGTGTCAGCATTGAACCTTCGGGATCGCTAAGCCTTTTATTATTATTATTAATTTTTTTTTGCTGTCTTGCATGGACTCTGAGATATTTGTCTTACATATCTTGTACTGATTTAACAATTTTTTTAACCTTGTACCAATTAAACATTAATTTTTTCTTTTAGCCTTGATGACCTATAATTTAGGTCGAACCATAAGCAATTAATATATATAAGTCTCATTTATCATGTGTGTGAATTATTTGCCCACACCCCTCCCTACAAATTTCTCCATAATCTTTGAATTTTTCTCGAGTTGCTCTTTCAATCTGTGATCAATCAATCATGATTTTTTTTTTTATTTGACTTTTTGATGGTTATTTTTTAATTTTACAGGTTTTTTATTCTTTACATGCATTTTGAAGACATAAGCCTGTGTGGTTGAAATTTTTCTAGTTATAACCTAACGTTATTTTTTAACTTTAACTAAATTTTAATGCATTATTTTATCGCTATTTTTTAACTTTAACTCAATTTTAGTGCACTTTAACAGCTTCGAATTAATGTTTTTGTGCATTAAACTAATATATTTTGACTGGAGCTGTTGATTAAAACTTCAATGAAAATTGTAACTTCACCATGCCAAATTAATATATTATTATTTTGATCAGCTGTTGTTACAACCCACTTGGGTCAAATCCTGTCCCAGCATAGATTGATATTCTCTGTTTTTTGCTGATGCCTTCCAGTTTCTACTATCAAACGGTGTAATTGAATTTCAGATGTAGTTGATAGATTTGTTTGTTCAATGCCAAACTATATTCCCAGATTTTGCTATAATTTGTTTTTTGGATCATCTACGTAATAGTAGCAAATTCATAGATGTATTCATAAAAAAAATAAAATAACCTAAGAAAAAAATACAATTTATTTTATTATATTAATAAGCTTTATCCAACTAAGCAAGTACTGTCAGAAAGATCAAGGGATATTTTTCGGAAAGAAGTAATTTAGTCAAAGTCAACTTATTATATAAATTTTAATAAGCTTATTCTGAGTTTTGTAAATGTATTGTGTTTTGTCCCCGACCAATTATCTCAGTTAACCTTTGTAATATCTTATTGAACGTCTATTTTTATTAAATTTGAAAATGTGATGTACCCGTCTTCATCCCATGTGACTGTCAATTAGTGTAATGTTATAAAAATTTTAACAGTTAATGCATTCATAGCAGATACAACTTTGTGCTTCTGTAATGTGTTGTGCTATTTTGTATTCTGTGCTGTGTAATTATTTGTGAATGTGTGGCATGTATTAGTGTAGAATAGGTTTTTTAGATATGGCCCTCAAAGTGTTTTCTATTATATCTTTGATGATCAGTTGCCTGACATGAGACATCAGAACCTTACTCTTAGAGGGAAAGATATCTCTCATGGCTGTCTCTATGGCAAAAAGGTCTGCTCTTTCATTTCCTTTTATGCCTGATGTGGGTGAATTGCAACATGGCCTAACCGCTCTGGCAACCATCAGTTGAGGAATTATTCAAGTAAGTTTCCTAACTCTTTCCATTTAGGATAAACATAGATTGAATAAATACAGTTGAGTTGACACATTAAACTCAGTAATAGACAAACAATGACCATAGTACTAAGAGAAATCAGTGCATAAAAAACTTGGGTCTCCAATAGTTAAAGCTTTTTCAACATGCCAAGACAACTGTGACCAAACATAATATCTAGTCGGGATTGTTTTAATTCTATGTTCAGTCTTTTAGCAATTAATGTTAGAATGTACATGCTCACATCCTGCTGGAAGATTCTTCTAGAAGTACTGTAGAACATCAGTGTCAAAATTGTTGTCCTGCCATCAGGACCTGATTTTTTTATTTGCTTGTCCTGGCATTACTTTAGTTTTTACAATAATGACTAGTAGGACTGTTTGTTTTAATACTGTGAATGAGTAAATAAATGATGATTTGTGAATCAGATATTTTTGTAACTTTCTTGTAACATTTAAATTGTTAGATTAATAATTAAACGAGAAGGAACTATTGATAACAAAACATTTATTTAAAAATGTATATATATGTCTTGTTGACACGTAACCGCTAGATGAAACATCAGAAAGACTAAGGGAGTTTAAACAATTATCGCACAAGTTAGTTAGCAATGGTTTTCTTTGTTCAATTATTAATTTATTAATGTTAAGCTTTTTTAAAAAATAAAATCTAATAAATATTTTTCCAGTTTCTAATAGTACATATAATAATAAGGAATATGTTTGATGTTTACATACAAAGAAACGTTTTGTAACCTGACACAAGATTTCAAGTTTAATAAACTAAATCACTTTTTTCAAAATATATTTTATGTACCTAATAATGAAATGAAAATTAAACTTATATTATTGAGTAAGGAAATATTCCGGTGAAATGGGGCGGCAGTCATTAAAAGACTGAAATAGTTAAAAAAAAAAAAAACTTTATTTCAAGCCAACCTTTCGATCCATTTTTCCAGGTCTTCAGGGTTGTGTGCAACTAGGAGTTTGAGTTGACTGTGAAATACAAATAAAATGATATGTAACATAAAAATAAAATGGACGTTGGCTTGAAATAAAAATAATTTTTCACTATTTTTATGACTGCCACGCCGGACTAGGCATTTTTGGCAGGACATCTGCCAGCCAGAAGTGGTTGCATTTGTCCAGCAGACGTGTGTCAAAAACTAACTTTTTTGTATCCAACTTTGACTAATTTGAAGATGATAGGAATCGTTTCTATACCACACTAGTCCACCCAAAGGACTAAAAAAACAAAGTCTGCTGGCCGGAAGTGGTTGTATTTGTACGGCAGGCGCATGTCAGAAACCAACTTTTTTGCATCAAAACATGACTTATTTGAAGATAGTTGGAACAATTTCTAATCAAAACTAATCAACCTAGTTGGAACAATTTCTAATCAAAACTAATCTATCTGGAGGACTATAAAAACAAAATCTGCTGACCTGAAGTGGTGTCATTCGTTCGGCAGACACGCGTCAAAAACCAACTTCTTTGATTTATATTTTTTCATCAACTAATTACACTGATCTCTTTTATCCATTTGTATCTCAAACGTTAACAGTAATTTATATAAGGAAAATCGCAACTATATATATATATATATATATATATATATGTATATGAATATAAAATTCTTAACACACTTTTTTTGTTTGTGATATACCTAATACATAATATAAGTGGAAAAAACCTAAATAAAATAATATAAATGGTTTGGCTACTATTTGTCTAGTAAAACTAGGGATTGACCCCAACATCCAAAACATAAGGATGAAACTTGTCTGAAATTGTTCATTACTCACCTAAGAATAACTAGTAAAGAGTCTCGAAATCTCACATTGGGTTGTGGTGGGGGGAGGGGGAGATGGACAGAAAATTGATACTTTTTTAGTTTTTTGAGAATACCTAAAAAAATATGAGTTTTTTCACAAAGATTTTTCAGTACAATATAAAGGTCTACTTTTATGTTTCCGGAGCCGTAGATTTTGAAATCGATCTCCATTTTAAGATTAGGCCACCGTGTTTCGACTTATTTGAGTTTTTCGGGTATTTTTCATATGAGGGTGTATTTTTATGTTTCTGGAGCTGTAGATTTTGAAAACGACCTCCATTTTAAGATTAGGCTACCGCGTTTCGATTTCTTTGAGTTTTTCGGATTTTTTTCATATGAGGATGTATTCTTATGTTTCCGGAGCCATAGATTTTGAAAACGACCTCCATTTTATGATTACGTAGCTGCGTTTTGACTTATTTAAGTTTTTCGAATTTATCCAATATTAAGGTCTATTTTTATGTTTCTTGACCCGTAGATTTTGAAAATGACCTCCATTTCATGATTACGCCATTGCGTTTTGACTTATTTAAGTTTTTAGAATTTAACAAGTATAAAGGTCTAATTTATGTTTCTGGAGCAGTAGATTTCCCCCATTTTGTAAATGACCCAATTTCAAGTTTATGCCACTGTGTTTTGGATTATAAAAGTTTTTTTTTTTTATTTTTTCGGTATAAGGATCTACTTATATGTTATCCGAGACGTATTGAAATTTTTCTAATCTTTAATATTTAAATTTATCTAATATTTAAGCTCCATTTTATGATTAAGCCGCTGCATCTCGATTAATTAGGCTTCAGTTTGGATTTTTTCAATACAAAGTTTCATCAATATGTTTTCGAGTTTGAATAAATAAATAAATATTATGAAGCTAAAGTTAAATTAACCACAGAATACAAACTAAAAAGCCAAAAAGCAAATGGTAATAAATTTAACCTTCTGTATTCAGATTTTTCTGCTAATTGTTCGAAATCTTATAATTTTGTGACAGGAGACCACAAATTAAAAAAGATAACTAAAATTAAAAATGAGAAACTACATATTTTATTTATTTTGATTAGATATTTTTATTTGTTTATTGAAAAATAAATTAATCCTTCGTATTTCGTTATTTATTCGAAGGAAAAATCAAAAACACTTAAAAAAACCGAAACACAGTGGCCTAATCTTAAAATGTAAGTCGTTTTAAAAACTAAGGCTCCGGCATCATAAAAGTAGACCTTTAAATTGGATAAATTCGAAAAACTTGAATAAGCCGAAACACAGTGGCGTAATCTTAAAATGGAGGAGGTCATTTTCAAAATCTACGACTCCGGAAACATAAGAATACACTCTTTTATGATAAAAATTCGAAACACTTAAAGAAATCGAAATGCGGTGGCCTAATCTTAAAATGGAGGTCTTTTTCAAAATCTATGGCTCCGGAAACATAAGAATACATCCTCATAAGAAAAAAATCCGAAAAACTCAAAGAAATCGAAACGCGGTGGCCTAATCTTAAAATGGAGGTCGTTTCCAAAATCTATGGCTTCGGAAACATAAGGATATACCCTCATATGAAAAAAATCCGAAAAACTCAAATAAGTCGAAACGCGGTGGCGTAAACATAAAATGGATGTCATTTTCAAAATTTACTGATCGGGAAACATAAAAATACATCCTTATATGGAATAAGTCAAAAAAACTTAAATGATTCGAAAAGCAGTCACGTAATCTTAAAATGGAGGTTATTTTCAAAACTAGGTACAGGACAGCATAATACTAATCCCTTATAAATCCAAATAGGTACAATAAATCGATATCCGTAAGTGAAAATTCTACTTAGGAGAGCATAATAATAGACTTTCATATTGGAGGGGGGGGATGGCCATTATTTTAAAAAATATATAAAATTTACAAAAAATTAAAACATTAATTTGAAATGAAAATGGTTGAATTTGAATTGGAAAAAGTTTAATTTGATCTGGAAAAGGTTGAATTTGACTTGGAAAAGGTTGAATTTGACTTGGAAATAATTGAATATGATATAGAAATATCACACTGAAAAAATCTAAAATGTTAAAATAAATTTATATGCCACCGCGTTATCAAAATATTTTTTGTATTTTTCAAAAGCTATGCCTTCGATAATATAGTAAGTGGCCTTCATTTCGAAAAAAATCAAAAATTGACAAAAATTTGAAAGTTGAATTTGAAATGGAAAAGGTTGAATTTGACTTGGACAAGGTTGAATTTGACTTGGACAAAGTTGAATTTGAAATGGAAAAGGTTTAATTTGACTTGGAAAAGGTTGAAATTGACTTGGAAATGCTATATTTTTAGTTGCTTACAAACTGATAGTCATATTTTTTTTTTAACTATAAGAAGCAATCTAGTGATTGTACTCATGTTATCTTGAATTTTTTATTTTTTAAATGATTTGCATTCCACAAACAAAAATGTTACTCCCCTCTTACTTTTTTCACCTACTTTTGCTATCTTAAAGGCACATCTGTAAAATTCTCCAATGACCCTCTCATTTACCTACTTTAGTGTAAGTATTTGAACACCTTCAGTGCTCGAATCACTGTTAGTAAGAGTAAATGTTACATTTCTTATAAATTGATTATATATATTATTTTTTAGTTTGTGTAACTTATTACATATTTCACTTGTCTATTTCATGTATCATCCATCACTACTTTTTCATTATTACCCATTATCTGTCTTACAATATTATATTTCTGATTGTATCAAACAATTTTCAGCCCTGATGATGACCCACATGCTTCGGTTGAAATGTCAGCTCCAATAAAAACCTTAAAAATGACTGCACCCTGACTATATTTCATCCATGATAGTAGAACAGTCTACTAACTTCTTTCAAGATTGATTATATACCTTTTTCTGTTTAGTTTCTGAGATATCCGTCCTCAACTATGGCTAACTTTGAAAAACAAATTTTTGTCTCATGTTTATTGCTGTTTTGAGTTTTCGCTTATATTAGGAAAACTATCTATCGCACCGACAAAGACATTCTATACAAAATTAAAGCTGGTAAAATTTTCATTGCGATTGATTATATACCTTTTATCACTATCTCGCTTAGTTAGTGTCAAATATTTCTCATATTAGTCAGTCAATTTTGGGGAAATGAATTATTTATTTAAAGATTACTATTAATAGTTAGTTTTATTATATGTGTATATATATATATATTTTTTTTTTGCAGTTTCTGTGGAGGCTTGGAACAGTGAGTTCAAGGGCTACTTGCCTAGTATATTATGCATCTGCTTATGGTCCGTGGCTCTTATTAGTAGTTGTTCTCCATTGGGCAGTGGTTTTCCTGTGGTTAGTCTGCCCTGGTGTAAGTGCCTCTAACCCTCCGACAGTGACCACTAAGGGAGGTGCCCTTAGGGCGACATGGTTGGCTGCAGCTCTAGCTTTCCTTCACCTTATAGCTTATGCGAATCTTGATGACAATTCTTCTCGTCTGAAAGCGGTGAGAAATACATAGTTTTTTTCTTATAAGGATGTTGATCTTAATTATTTCTATTTTTAAAATATAATATTTCAGTTTTATATGTATCTGGGTCATTGCATGTCAAATCAACCAGGGTCTGGCCCAGAGGGTCTTGGATTTTGATTAATTGTTTTATTATTTGTTGAATGCGTTAATACAAAATTTTGAGTCTGTTGTTTGTGGCTTTTTCTATTGTAAATCTGATTCTTTTGTTATATTGGTTGAAGCTTTCCAGTATTCCATTTCCCGAATCTTTTTTTTATTATAAGTAGCAAGTCATCTGTGTATTTTTTATTAACAATGGTTTTTTTTCTAAGTTAGATAGTTGTGTTGTGATCAGTTTGTTTAAAAATATGCCACTTAAATTCACTGACAAAGTACTTCCCATCTCGACTCCCTTAAGTTGTTTATAAAATTCATTATTATATTTGAAATAGTTATTTCTCGTACTTAGATTTATCCCTTCGATGAATATTTTTTTATCTTTAATTTTGGTTTCACTTTTTACACTATCTCAATATTAATTAAATTATTTACATTTGGTCACAACAAATTTAATTATGAATAACTATTTAAAGGGGAGCTTATATAGCAGAGTGATTAGTGCGCTATACTATACTAGTAAAGTAAAGATTATAGGATTGAATTCTGGCCCCTACTTCTCAGTATGGCTGGTCCCCGTGGGAAGTTAAACCTTTGGACAATTACCACCTTATACAGATATTTAGACTTCGGAATATACTTAGACCATTGCACAAGTTAAAATCATACTTGTAAGAATAGGCTTTAAAAAAAACCATTTAAGTAAAATATTTTTAATTACTTTAATTACTTAATTTAAAAATTACTCAGTTAAAAGTATACTTAGTTAAAAATTTAGCTACCTAATTCTCTACTTTGCTGTAGTCTAACTTCTCTAAAATTCTCAATCCACTTTCTGTTTTTTTCAGGTTATGTTTTATGTTGTCATGGGTGTTGAGAATCTTGTCTTATTAATTTCTTGGTACCTGACAATTAAGCCAAATTATATACCCTTTATACCTTTAGGTGAGTTGTAATTTCTTTTATTTTTAAATTGCTTAAATTAACTTAGCTAACAGTTTTGATTTTTGCAGGTGCAATACTTTCTTATATTTTAGGATTGTTCTTTATGGCGTTATATTATAGGTTAGTTTTTCAGTTATCAAAACTTTTAATTTAATTATTATTTATTACTTTTATAAGTTGTGTCTTTGTAACCAGATTTTTCCATGTTCGGAGGTTAAAGTATGAAGCTGGAGGAAGAATGTCAACTCCAGAGAATGTGAGTTTAATACTTCTGTTATATTTTTATTTGTACTATAAACTGTTTTGTATACAAAGATTTATTTATTTACAGTTGGAATTCTTTCAAATTCTTGACTAGATTAAACTTTGATAGTCATTGATATGTCTCTTCATGACTATTATATTATTGTAATTATATCCGTTTATATTATTAATTGTAAAGGATTTTTGTCTCAAGCAGATTAAATATAAATATAATGTTACTTATCGAAGAAACTAATTATTCTCAATATTTCTCTTTTCTACTTCGGTGCATAATATTTAGTTTCCAATTTATTGATTTTAAGCCAAATTACACCAATTTTTAATTTGGTCAACTTAATGACTAACAAACTCTTATTGCGACGTTTCGGCTCGTCGAGTTATTTTCAAGTATATCCATTATACTTCTTATGTGAATTACATGTGTCTTCTCATAATAACTATTAACACGATTGCCAAGTCTACCTCTAACTTATTATGTGTTAACCCATATGTTGTCGGTTTCATTTCTATTGAGTGACTGAATGGAAATCAAACCGAATGAATAAATGAATGAATCATTTCAGTTATTCAATAGAAATGAAACCGACATGTGGGTTAACACATAATAAGTTAGAGGTAGACTTGACAATTGTGATAATAGTTATTATGAGAAGACACATGACAGACTTGAAAATGGCGAGCCAAAACGTTTTAATAAGAGTTTGTTAGTCATTAAGTTAACCGGATTAAAAATTGGTATTATCTGGCTTAAAATCAATAAATTGGAAACAAAATTAATTATTTTAAAATGTATACTTTTTTACTTTCACTTACCTATATATGTAATATACAGGGTGTCCCGTAAGTAGAGAGAAATATTTATATGAGTGATAGCAGATTTGAAGGACTACAAAAACATTCATATAAACAGTGGGCTAATTTTTAGAAAGAAAGTAGGAAATCCAAGTTTTGTGTATTTTTAGGTAAGTCATGTTTTTTGTAGAATAGGAAGCTATAACTAAAGAAACATTTAATTTAATTAGTTAACAATTTCTTCACTGTAAACTAGACAAAATTTACTTCAAATGAATGCACAGTGTGTCACTGATAAAATCAGTCAAAAAGGATTTTTGAGTGGCTAAACTGAGCTAAGTTCTGTTTTTAAACAAATCATAAATTATTCGTGATTAATTTATCATCATCCAACTATATTAGAGATACCCAACTTTAAGATAAACTTCTTTGCTTAATAAACTTTAAGTCCGTATTAATTAAGTTGAGGTTTATAAGGGAAAACTTGAGATTCACCTCAATTTTTTATAAAACTGATGTGATTTTTCATCCTATCAAATAAAAGTTAATGGAGTTATATGGAGAGCCAGACATCCTTAGTGTCATTAAGAAGGGCAGGCTCAGGTGGCTGGGTCATGTTGAAAGAATGGATCTCAGTAGTCTTCCAAAAATGATGCTAAATGGTACTCCAGGAGAGAAAAGACAAAGAGGTAGACCCTTACACCGATGGTTAGATGATCTGGAAGAAGACTTGAGGAGGATGGGGATCAGAAATTGGAGGAATCTTGAAATGAAATGATAATGAAATGAAAAAAATAATTTTATTCTGGGACTACTGTCCCCTAAGATTAATAACAGAGTTACAAATTTATGTATCTTAGTCTGAAATAATAAAAATATCAACTAATATATTGTTAATTCTTATTTCAATTGTGTAAGGGATTGAAATTAAACATTGTATAGATGCAAGTAATTTTACATGTTAGGGGAAGTTTGAATGTAGAGTAGGTGTTGGAACAGGAGTTGTTTGAAGGAATTTGTAGATGAGGATTGACGCATGGGGGTAGGAAGTGAGTTCCATAAGGAAGCAGCACGAATGACGAAGGATTTGCTGAAGGAGGAAGTTTTATGGGAGGGAATATATAAGTCTATAGGTTGAGATCTAGTATTGAGAGAGCGGATAGAGGAGCGCAGAGTAAGGAGTTCCAGGATGTAGGGTGGGTTTTTAGTTCTGAAGACTTGGAAAAGGAAAATGCCAAGAAGGAATTGTCGTCGGGAAGTAGGATAAAGCCTCGGTGTACCATAGTGAAACATGTGAACGTCTGGGGATCCTGAAAATGAATCTTATGAAACAATTCATGAGTCTTTTTAGTCTCAATTCCAGCCTGGCAGATAGCCCTCCATACACCAAGCAGCCGTAGTCGAAGTGGGGGAATACAAGGGAGGTTACAAGGAGCTGTCTGGTTTTTAGAGGAATACAATCACGGAATCTTAGGAGTTGTTTAAGGGCAGTTATGGATTTTCGGGTAATCTGGGAGATATGATTATCCCAGGAGAGGTTCTGGTCAAAGGTTACTCCTAGGTTTTTGACTGTAGGGAAAAAATGGATGGGGTGGTTATTGAGGTAAAGTAGAGGAAAGTAAGGAAGGAAGGAAAATCTTGCTGTGGACCGTGAGGAGTGGAGGAGAGTGGTGGCAGAGGCCCAGGTTCTACAAGGACTGTAGCGCCCATTGAAGAAGAAGAAATAAAAGTATCCCTGTTTTTAGCAAAACATACTACACTTAATTGTTGAAAAGCTTTTATTTCTTGTTTTTTCAAGAAAGTTCTTCTTGAAGTTTTTCTGTGGCTGATAATAGGTCGGAGGGCAGGAAAGACAGGTATATTTGGAAATCATCTGCATAGATATGGTATTGGGAGTGATGGATCAGGAGTGGGAGGTCATTAATGTAAATAGCAAACAGAGTAGGAGATAGAGAGGAACCTTGAGGGACACCACAGGAGTGTGGGGGTGGGGGGGGGGTTCTTAGATGGAGGTTGACCTGGGGCGACTACTTACCAGGACCAATTTGAAAGGAAGGTTTTGAACCAACGCAGGGCGCTGTTGGATTGAGGAAGATAGGATTTGGTGTTTAATGGAGTTTCAGAGGTCATAGGTTATTTTAAGGAAAGCGGATTGAGTTGAGTAGCCAGGTCAAAAGCCAGATTGGAATGGATTGATAAGGGAACGTTCCTCTAGGAAGTTGGAGAGTTGATTTTGGAATATTATCAGAACTATATAGTTAGTGTGGGATTTAAGGATAGTGGAAAGTAATTCATCGTAGGACACATGGGAGAAAAAGAAGTCTTCAGGATTGAAATTGTAATGTTTAATATCGAAAGTAGGAGGAGAATTGTGAGTGAAGGATAATAGTCATTGAGATCATCTGGAGTCACCGGGATGGAACTGTGCTTAAATGATTCTGGTAAGGATAGGCTACGGAGTATTTTCCATTTGGATATGGAATCTGGAGCATTGGAAAGGTCATTATGAAAGTACGTGGCTTTAGCAAGTCAGATTGTGGATTTCGTTCCATTGCGAAGTTCCTTGAAAGACGCATAATCAGCAGGCAAACGGGTTTGATGGAATTTCAGCCTTGCTGCATCCTTTCTTTTCATCATTTCTTTTATTTCAGGAGTCGGCTAAGGTGCAGTGGGACGATGTAAGGTTCTAGCTTTCAGAGGAGCATTGGTGTCTAATAAGGATTTTAGGTTTGACGTTAGGGAAGGTACCATAGGATCAATGGAATTATAGGAACATATGATGTCCCATTGGAAAGAATCAAGGTCAGGATGATGGGATTCATAGGAGGGAAGGTTTAAATTACGGTATGAAACTATTTTGAGAGTAAAGGATTTCACGATTAGGTCGTATGTAATTTGGATCTGGTCGTGTGATGAAAGAAATGGAACTGGATGTTGAAAAGAGGAGAGGATTTTGATGTGAGAGTCAGAGATGTAGAGGTCTAACCAGGTGTCGTAAAATTGTGTGTGAGGAGTAGGAGAATAAGGAACAAGATAAGTATAGTATAGTATAAAATATTTACATATACAATTAAAAGAAAAAAAAAATATCTTGCCACATAATGATATGGACACAAAGAAAATAAAATTGTTTACTATACAATGGTATGTAAAAGGGGTACTGCAACAATCAGTATTTAAAGTTACAAAATAAATGTTTCTAGTCCTAAAATGTACATTAAAATAAAGAAACCTGCTGATTGCTTTAATTATTTGAATGAAAGCATTAATATTAGGTTCAGGAACATTTAGTTTGTCACTTATAAATATGGATCAGTTACTATAATAGAGATCTGGGTGAAAAACAGTTCTATAACCACTGAACTGGAAAAATATTTGAAGAACCAGTATTTTTTAATTTATTTTTTTATAAATAAAATGTGTATTTAGGCAATTATGTTTATTATAAAACATCCCAGATCATAGAAAAACAAGAAATAAAAGCTTCAAAACAACTAATAGAAGTAATTTTTGCTGAAAACAAGGGTAATTCTACTAGAGAGTATAAAAAATCACATATTTTTTTTTTAATTACAATATGAGGTGAATCAAATATTTCCCTAATAAACATCAACTTAATTAATACATACTTAAGCTTATTCGACAAAAAAGTTTTTCTTAAAGTTGGGTATCTGTAGTTGTGGCGGCAGCAGGCGTTCAAAATGTGAACAGCCAATTCTGCACAATCTTATCCACAGGCACTGGAGCCTTATTAATTAATTAATTTTAAAAATATTAAAATAATAAAAATCCTTTTGGATAAATAGGTGTATAAATAAAATGCTGAATAGCAGTAATCCTATATTGAAAAAAACATGGTAAATGAATCAAAAATGCTACAAAATAAATACAAATTAATTTAAAATATTTCTCCTAGTACAAATAATAATAATAATAAAATAATGAGAGAAACAAAATTTACATTAAATCTTTAAACAAAAAAAGAAAACAACCTTAAACATAGAAATTAAATTTACAATATTCTATGGCTGTTTTATTACTAATACTCTTTAACCATACTCTCTTTGTAATGTTTTCTTTTTGCCTTCGCTGGTATTATGTGATACGACAAGAGGTAATTCGTGCCGGAAGTGGCCGAAAACTCTGCACATATTGGAATGTATAATTAAATGAAAATACAATGGTTTGCCATACAATGGATATGGAAATAAATAATCAATAAATTTAAATACAAATAACCAACTAAAAATGAACCCCATATCATAATATGGTCACAAAATAAAATAAATTTATTCATGTTGGCCGCAACAGTAGTATAGTTAAATGATGATAAAAAAAATTGTAAATGATTTATGATTTTTTTAAAAACAGAACATAGCTTAGTTTAGCCACTCAAAAGTCCTCTTTAAATGTTTTTAAAAATGACAAACTTCATTTTAATTTGAAGTAAATTTTATCTAGTTTACAGAAAAACAATTTTTAATAAATTAAATTAAATATTTCTTTAGTTATCACTTGCTGTCCAACAAAAACACGACCTACTTAAAAAACACAAAACTTCTTCCTAATTTTATTTAGTTGTCCCATATGCCTCACAATCGAAGAATAACCAACTAGTCAATTCATTCAAAGTGTGTTTACTAAGTCCCACATTTCAAATATATATATTCTTATTATTTCTTGTCACTCAGTGTCATAAAAACATTAGGTTCCCGAATTCCCAACGACACACAGAACCTATGCATTTGGTGGACATAGGACCAATATCTGAAATTTCGAATTTCTCCATATTTTATTGGTTAAGCTGTTCTTAGTTTCTATTATCATTGTACATCGTCAGTTTTTTTTTAATTAAAAATTTCCACCTAAGATATCTTATTAAAACGACTGTCCATGGAAAATGCCCTTTTTTAAAAAAAAGTACTACAACTATTTTGATGAACCAAAATTAATGAATCATCTTTATTACAATAATTTAACTTTATTATCATAATTTAAGTTTATACAGCTTGAACTTTTAGAGACTCTTAAAGTTTTTTTAATAAAAAAAAAAAAATTTAAAACATTCATAACGAAAATCGCTTAGAAATTTACCTCCACAGAAATTAACTAGAAGGTTTATAGTTTACTTTCCATCAATAATTACCTGCGGGTTCGTCCCGGTTTACAAGAAAACAATTTTTTTTAAAAACTTTTTTCCTTTTAGCTCTTGCTTTTTTTCAAATGTTCCTATAAATTCCAGTTTGTTTGTTTTAAATGTTTGTTTATACTTTATAAACTTATTGTCTTTAATCCTCATGAATTGTAAAACAATAAAGTCAATAAAGAAATAAAATTCAGTGTCGGGATAGCATTAATAGCAATATGAACAAAAATCGCGACATTTTTAAATTTTTCAGAACAAACCCTATAAGTTTCAAAGATTCTGACCGGGCATATGGACAATGGATTCAGGATCTTGGACTCGAAAATATTCCTAAGAAAAAGGAGTTCTGTGTGCGCAAACAATTTTGCAAGTTTTGTGGAGATTTGTGTTCGCATTGGATAAAATCGAATAGGAATCTATCTGACTTTTTAAAAGGTAACAAAAATTAGTTAAATTTAGATTTTGTTGTTCTTCATGAATTAAATTTTGATCTACTTTCATTGTCTTTGTCATCGTTAGCTTCTATTAACGTTCTATCCCGTTCTCAGTCTTTTGATGTGTTATCTGATAGGCAAAAGCGAAGAAAAACTCAAGAGTTAAGAGAAGCTCCGTATGATATGTTTTTATATTCCATGATTTAATTTTATATTTAAAAAAGATTTAAATCTGATGATGCAAGTTATATTTTTGATTTCATAAATGAGTTTCCGGAACATACAGTTAGCATTAGAGAATATTGCGAAAAATCCAAAAAATCAAGAAAGTGAAAAAGCATTAGCATTCATTATATGTTTCTGCAGATTTTTCGAGATTCCAATAAAATTAGAAATAATGCTTTAACTTTAGGGTTCCTCATACCAGACTGAAACAACTAGGAACCGCTTGACGTTTCCGATTACTTTAACACTTACTAGACAAACGCTCTAAACTTCCAACTAATTACAAAAGACTCATATACATGACTATAATAAGACCTATTTGGACTTGCGGAGTTGAGCTATGGGGCTCCACTGAACCATCGAATTCATCCCTTATCCAATCCTTACAATCCAAAATCCTTCATAAAATCCTCAATGCTCCCTACTTTGTTACAAATAAAACCATCCATAATGACCTTAATGTTTCTTATATTTCAGATCTGGCCCAATCCAGATACCTGTCCTTCTTTAATAAACTTCAGAATCATCCCAACCCTCTCATTTCTAACCTTGCTTCCTCTTCAATTCCTGATAACCCTCCGTGGCATCTGAAAAGAAGAAGGCCCCATGATCTCCTAATGTAAACATATCGTTAGAGTGCTACCATTGGGTAGTTACTAAACAAGTATTTTCATGTCATTATATCCATATGTTAAAATTTACTGAATGTATTTCTTTAACACAGTTGTAAATATCATTAAGAAATAATAATAAAAAAAAAACAACTTTAGGACACAATATTTATCCAAGTTACTACCACATCCAAAAATTAAAAAAAGATTGTTATCCTTCAGAAGAGTCCATTTCAGTTACAGGTACTGGTGCAAAAATTATTTTACAAAATTTACTTGATCATACTTCATCAAGAATTTTACAAGTTGTGAGTGACAAAATCAAAAATGAAACATTTCCAAATTTAACTTTGATAAGCGAATGGGGTTGTGATGGGGCATCAAATCAATCTCAGTACAAACATTCGTTTTTGACGATTCTTCAGTTTTTATTATGAGTGTAGTACCAATTATACTGTTTAACCGTGAAAATGAACAGATAATCTGGGAAAACACATTTCCTTCATCCACACAGTTTTGTCGGCCGATTTTATTTGAATTTAAAAAATAGACTGTTGATTTTGTAAAATCTTCAATTAAAGAAATCGAATCCCAAATAAATCTGCTAAAACCATTTTGTAACGATCAAGTATCAGTAAAATATGACATTCTCTTAACAATGATAGATAGCAAAATTTGTAATATTTTGACTGAGAATTCTTCTATCATGCGATGCTACTTGTGCAAAGCTGCACCAAAAGAAATGAATAATTTAAATTTAGTAACAAGTAAAGGCACAATTAATGATGAGTATTATTCATTCGGCTTGTCGCCTTTGCACTGTTTGATCAGATGTTTCGAGTGTTTAATACATATTTCTTGTAGACTTGATTTAAAGTCTTGGAGTGCAAAATCAAATGAACAAAAGCAGTTGTTGGAAAATAAAAAAAAGAGATTAAAAATCAGCTGGTCATAAATGTTGATCGTGTTAGACAAGGAGGTGGTAACAGCAACAATGGAAATACAGCACGAAAATTCTTTGCTTTTCCTGAAATTTCATCCTCAATAACTGGTGTTGATGAAAATCTCATTAAACGCTTGACAATAATGTTTCAAGTTATTTCATCCAACTCTAAGATCGATGTTGACAAATTTGAACTTTATGCCAAAGAAACAGCCCAGTTGTATGTTTCTCTTTATGACTGGTATTATATGCCAGTTACCTTGCATAAGCTGTTGATTCACGGCAAAAATGTGAAGAATGCGATAGTGCCAATAGGCCAGTTGTCTGAAGCTGCACAAGAGGCAAATCATAAATTATTTAGAAAATATAGGGAAAATCATTCGAGAAAAGTATCGAGAGAATTGAACAATAGGGACATTTTAAATAATTTGTTGATAAATTCAGATGCCTTGATTTCTTCTTTACGATAATTTAATTAATTTTAAATTAATTTTTTTTTGTAATACATAATTATGTACAAACATAATTAGTAAAAGCCTTTTATTATTAAGTAATTATAATATTTTGAATAAAATTTTTTATGGATTTCGTTCATTTTTTTTTTAATTTGAATTGAATGGTACCTACTGCTCATATATGAAAAAAAGGGGGGTTTTTGGTTTGCCGAAAAACCCCATAACCCTTTTATACGGTTGCTCCCATCAAAAAAAGTGACCTAAGTAAAAATTGCTGGAAATAGGGTGTGAAATCAATTTACGTCAAATTGTAGGGTTCCAATTAAAAAAAAAAAAATGTCTTCTGTCACAAAGTCAAACTAAGAATTTCAAAAGTGCATTAATAAAAATGACACAGTAGAGAAAGATGAATTAAAAATGAAGTTAAGGTATCAAACTGCCCTTTTTAATGAAACCAATAATAGACAAGGATCCAAGTCTGAAGATGTCACTATTATATAGAGTTCAGCTGTTCAAGATGGGGAACCATTAGGAAGTACGATGGAAACTAAACATGGTGAGGATCCTACAAATGTACAAAGTATTGAAAAAATTGTAGTTGATGATAATGAACATTTGGATGGAAGACCTACTGATGAAGAAATAAAGGAAACAATTGATGATGGAAAGGATTGTGGGACAATTGTTATTTCAGAAGGATCCATGACCGAAATAGTCAATGATAGTGAGCCATCCGGAGCTCAGAAAGAGAAGAACATTGATGAAGAAAAAGAAACATTAATTGAAAAGGAATTACTGAAGGAAGATGAGTCTATGTCTGATAACATCAGCCCTGATTCGCCAGTAGTAGATGAGACTGATGTTGGAAGAAATTAAAGCTGTTAAGGGACCTTACCAGATAAAATAAAAACTTGGCGCTATAAACCCAGGTTAAGAGAATGATAAAATAATAATTTAGGAAAATTTATGGCTACAAACACAGGCTTCGTCTTTTGGACATAAAATAAAAATCAATAAATAGATAAGTAAAATAAATAATAGTAATAAATAAACTGATTTAATAATAAATAATAGGGATTATTCGTAAATTTATTTCCATGGTAGATATAATCTATTTTCTTTGTTAAATTTTGTATTCACGTTTAACTAGCGATAATAGGATTTAAATGTTCACCTTAAACGAGCCAGTAACTTTTCTATTACACCTAAAATCGCTTATTCTGTATATATCGTATATTTTGTATGTATCGTGATTTTGTATACATTGTATATTTTTATATGTCTTGTGTTTTATATATATTCATTTAAATAATTTTTTTTTTTCTTTTTCCCCGATACATGAGTGCATTTAGGAATGATTTTAAGTTTGCACATTAAAATTTCAAATTTCTATTACACGCAAAAAGTCATTTCATCACTGCCATTTTTCTTAAATTTTGTTGTTCTCACTCGAACACAAAATTTAAAAGTTTAACGGTATTGATATGTAGTATATGGCCTCTAGTATTTACTCTTTTATGTGACATTAAACGTGATGAAATAATAAAATAAAAGAAATCAGGAAATAAATAAATCAGTGCGTAACAATGGTAAGATTGCCGATGAAAGTCCGGGGTATGTGTTAAATGTTGATCGATGCTGTAAAGTGAACGAAATTCGAGCCGTCAGCCGAAGACATCTAAGTCCTTTAATTGCTGCCAAACAGGTTATTTATATCCCCCGAACAGGCTATTTACATCTGTGTGTGTGAGTGAACAGCCTAGCTCAAAAACAAAACTTACATTATGTATGTAAGGTTTTTATATGCCCGAGATATCACAGCAACTTTCAAAATCGGCCAACCGAAAGTGCCATTATATATAATTGGTTTATACGAACAGATTTTTTTAAAATTCATTAGATCAATGAATTATAAAAAGATTTTTAGTTTATGGTAGGTCTTATCTTCATTAATGTTCTCTAACAGGGCTTAAATACCAAATTTTCAAATTTCTTTATCTAAAGTACCTTTAATTTTGTTTTTTAAAGCAATTAACCATTTTCCATTCCCCCAAAGTTACTAATGTTAAACAAATGAATACAAATTATGAATGAATTTTATTAATAACTAAAGAAAAGATAAGGTTTCATACTCCTGGATAAACTGATGGCATAGAAACTATTAAGGCAGAAATAGTCAAGGGCGCCCAGCTTTTCCCAATCCTCCTTCACTTAAATTACTCACATCTGTATACGACTATTCTATTGTTAGTTTAATTGATAAAATTAGTTTCTTTTACACATAATGTTTAAAAAGATTTTTTTGCTATATGTTGAGGCTATTTTTTACTAATACTAACTTCTTTTTTTTTAACGTTTTGGATAAATCTCAGAATTTTGACTAAAGATCCACTTTTACTTTTTTTTTTATGATGTTAAGATTTTAAACAGAATCCTATTTTTCCAGGATTCACTTTTACTTCTTATTAATTTAATTTTCTTTTTTTATTTATATTAGCAATCAATTATTTTTAAATTGTGGGTTTATGGTTGACTGTAGTGAATAATTGAAGAGAAGGATGGTTGGGTTGATCAGTCAAATTGAAATGGTTAAATTGAAAAAAAAAAATAATAATTTTATAATTACAGTCTTACATTCAATGTTTTACTTTAATGTTCATTCTATCTACTTCATTTTACGTTAAGTTGTTCTACTAAAAATTATTAGTCTATACCTATCACCTTTTTTAATCTTAATTCTGTATTATTCAATGTTATTATACCTATTGTTATCTGGTTCTTTTCCCAGCCCTGATGAAGGCCTGAACTTCGGGCCGAAACGAATGTAAAAATAAATAAAATTATTTATTTTTTACCATTTCAATTTGACTGATCACCCTAACCATCCTTCTCTTCAGTTATTTTTAAAATTAGTCTATTTTCTTTAATCACACGGCCACAATATTTTGTATGATAATTAATTATTTCAAATGACTATGTTGTATCATCTGAAATTTTGACTTCCCTACATTTGAAAATGCATTTCTATTCAAGATAGGGTAGTAAGTGAAAGTTGTGTGATGCATGCACCACACCAGATTTTTTAAAAATAATTTTATTTCCTAGTGTGCTCAAGAGTCACCTGAGGTAACTGGAAGCACCCCGACCTCTGGGTCGCTGGGCACCCCTGTCAAGGAAGAGGTTACACCACCACAGATTTCCTTAAAAAATCATAGCACTAGATACAGGTATTACATTATTCAAAGAACTTTGTTGTTTATATATTATATATTTATTAATTATACTAGATAAAAAAAATATTGTTAATAGGCAGCAAGTGATGTATGAAATTTCTAGATATTGTCAACTCTTGTTTGGTAACTTGAACTTCAAAGGAATGAGAAATTATTTTGAGTTATAAATGGCTCAAGTTAGAAATAATTTTTTATGGATGTCATAGTGTAAAGTTTTGATGCAGTGTCTGTCAGAAAATTGAGTACTTGCATGAATTTTTAATCATTGAGAATAAATTTATAACAATAAGAACACAAAAATTCTCTCATTTTTCTGAAGAATGTTTGCAAAAATAATTAGCATTAAATAAGCTTAAAGTCCATATTAATTAAGTTCAGGTTTATTAGGAAAATTTTTTAGATTCACTTCAAGTTGTGTAAAGAAATGATGTAAATTTCTACTCAGTCACCTAAAAGTACTTGTGTTTTCAGCATAAATTACCACAATTAAATGTTGCAAAGCTTGTATTTCCTGTTTTTCCATGATATTGTATGTATTGTAATAAACATAATTGCTTACAAACACATTTTATTATTAAAAATAAATGATTTTTCAAATATTTTTCATATTAATTTGGTTATGAAATTGTGTTTTTCTCTCAGATTTGTCATAGGAATTGATGCGTATTTATAAGTGACAAACTTAATGTTTCTTCCTAAAATGTATGTTTACTATAAAGAAATCTACTTATTGCTTCAATTATTTTCATGAAAACGTACTTATTATGGCTAGAAACATTAGGTTTGTCACTTATAAATATGCACCAATTTCTATGTCTGAGATCTGAGAGACAAACACAATTTCATAACCACCTTACATAAAAAAATATTTGAAAAATGATTTTTTTTTCATTTTTATAAATAAAATGTAATTTTAGACAATTATGTTTATTACAATTCATCCCATATCATGAAAAAACAAGAAATAAAAGCTTTGCAACAGTTAATTGTAGTGATTTTTGTGGAAAACACTGGTACTTTTAGGTGACTAGATAGAAATTCACTTCATTTCTTTACACAACTTGAGGTGAATCTCAAATTTATTCCTAATAAACCTCATCTTAATTAATATGGACTTGGAGCTTATTAAATGAGAAAGTTTCTCTAAAAGTGGGTAAATGAAGTACAGTTGAAGGGTGATAAAAAAAATTACTAATAATTTATGACTTTTTTAAAACAGAACTTAGCTGTGTTTATTTGTTTAATTGCCCTCTTTGAATAGTTTTAATAATGACAAACTCTATTCAACAGAGAACGTGACTCACTGTAAAAAACACAAATCTTAAATTTCATACTTTTCAGCTGGAAATTGTTTATAGGAGCTTTTTTGTAGATCTTGATGTCTGCTATCAACCTTTTAAATATTTGCTATATATGAGACACCCTGTATATATACATAGAAAGTACTTTATATACAGGGTGTCCGGTAACTAGAGGAAAATTTTTATAAGAGTGATAGTGGACCTCTCAAGACCTTCAAAAAAGTTTATAAGAAACAGTTTCCCGATTCCAACAGGAAAGTAGGAAATTGGAATTAGGTCATGTTTTTGTTGAATAGGAAGCGATAAATAAAGAAATATTTAATTTAATTAATTAAAAATTGTTTCACTGTAAACTAGACAAAATTTATTTCAAAAGAAAGTAGAATTTTTTCTTGTTAAAACCATTTAAAGAGTACTTTTGATCGGCTAAACTAAGCTATTTCTGCTTTTTAAAAAAATAATAAATTATTCATGATTTTTTTTTTTATCATCAAACTATACTAAAAATACCCCACTTTTAGAAAAACTTTTTTGCTTAATAAGTCTTAAATACTTTAAATTAAGGTTTATTAGGGAAAACTTGAGATTCACCTCAAGTTGTGTGAAAAATTATGTGATTTCATATCCTGCCGCCTAAAGTTATCCATTTTTTTAGCAAAAATTACTACAATAAATTATAATTTGGGATGGATTATGACAAACATAATTGCCTAAATATACATTTTAATTCTAAAAAAAAAAATGTTGAAAATAATTGATTTTTAAATATTTTTTAAGTAAAGTGGGTATGAAACTGTATTTTCCACCCAAACTGTGTTTTCAAGTGACAAAATAAATGTTTATACTCCTACAATTTGTACTTAAAATAAAGAAACCTGCCAATTGCTTCAATTATTTACATGATAATGTAAATCCTAGGATCAGAAACCTTTATTTCTTCACTTATAAATACGAATCAATTCTTATAATAGAGATATGGGTGCAAAACACAGTTTCATAACCACTTTACATAAAAAGTATTTAAAAAAACATTATTTTTAAGTCTTTTTATTTTTAAAAATAAAAGGTGTATTTAGGCAATTATATTAGTCAAAATCCATCCCAAATCATGCGAAAACAAGAAATTAAAGCTTTTACAATAATTTATAGTCATTTTTGCTGAAAAATAGGTACTTTTAGGTGAAAGAATATGAAGTCACATAAATTTTTCACATAAATCAAGTTTTTGCCTAATGAACTAAAATTAAAATTTAAACAACCATTCACTTCAGTCAAAATTCAATTCATAAAATTTATTTCATGATTGTGCAGCGTCATTTTGGGATATGAGGAGGAATTAGTAAGGATGGTAGTCGAATGAGACCAAGGAAAGAGGCATGGCGGGTATGTGTATCGGATGGCATCGGAATTCCAGATGGCAGTAGATTGGGCAATAAAGGAATGTTCAAATGTTTTGGTTCTATGAGAAAAGGGGTGCTCGGGATCTTGTTTTCTGAGAATGGATTATGGGTTTGAACTGTTAAGGGGCTGTAAATGTAGGAAGGATGCTGAGAGTGACAAAATACACCGTAGCCATGAAGGCCTATTTTACGCCCAATTTAGTTTCGCTCTTATTCAGAGCATTATTCAAGCTGTCTACAAACTGAAGTAGGCTTGTTGGATTGTAAAGCTCGTTAGTCTTGAGGTCAGACACCCTATCATTACTGAATAAATGGAATCTTAACTCAACAAACCTGTCTCACCAAAAAGTGATGTGATAAGCTCTTTCGTCCTTCTGACCACAGAACCTACAAAAAGATTACTCCGTTGGCCTGATTTTGAACATATGGTAATTCAGTTTACATTGACCAGTATATATCACAGTAATTTTCTTGAGAAGACTGCTGAAGTTAATTAGCAGATTGCTTCTCTTTGCACAGATTCCATCCAGGAACAAGCTTGAGTGAGTTTGTTTTTTTTAAGCACTAGTATTCCTTAGCTCCAGCATCATATATCTCCCCTATACTGCTATTGATTAGGCACATGCTAGTGCCGCAGATAGGTTCGGGTGATATGGGTGTTTTTTGTGAGCATTTTCTAGCTAATTCATCTGCCATCTCATTTTCATGAATACCAGAGTGTCCTAGTACCCATTTGATGGTTATATTATTAGACCTAGATAAAATTTTAAGAATTATTCCACTGTCCTTAACAGTCTTAGATCTAGTTGTGGCCAATTCTTGCTCTTTACCACCAGATATCATTTGTATATAAAAGCATAGGTCAGACCGCTGTAACTTACAGCCAATAGACCATTTGTGGTTTAAGCCCCCATGATTTCCCTACAGCATTTTTGCAAGCCTATAGGGTTGATCGTTTGGAATAGGTAAGATCCATGGAAATATTGTCGGCAGAAAGAAGGTAAGAGCCACTTTAACTCGTCATAAAGGTGGGACACATGAGAATCACTCGAAGTACCTACGACAAATCTTAAGAAGTAGTTTGTGAGTCTTCGAGCACCATCTGGATGTCATCGTACACCAAACAGCCGTAGTCAAAGTGGATATCATTGCCTGCAGTTAACAGATACCCCAGGTAAACAAATTCATCCACTTTTTCAAACTTATAGGAGCCAAATTGCACAGTATCAGCCAAGGTACCAAATTCGGAGGTCATATACCTAGTTTTCATTGCATTTACACGTAGTTCCAGTAGTCCGATTGTTGCTTCTAGAGCAAAGAAGACCTCACAAACTGCAGCCTGGGATCTACTAAAGATCGTCCGTGTTACCGAGGATCTTTCCCATGACCCTTTCTATTGAAAACTGTTATTTGGATCCGTGCATCCCGCACCACTTTTTCGCTGTCTTACGCCATTCGTTGCAAAGCTCACTTCCAATGATTCACCCTGTACAGGCACCACATACATTGATTCTGCCATGGTTAATTTAACAAACTGAATCAGTTTCTCTGGAATGTTTAGTTCTCTCATAGCTTGATAAACATAATAATCTATCCTAAGCGGCTTTGAAGTCCAGGTGTTGAGAATTCAGCCACATCATAACCAATTAAATCCAGTGCCATTTCTCTATAAAAGGAATTTACTTACAGTGATTCTTAACTCCCTATTAACTTCAAAAGGATACCAGTTATTCATCTTCATCCTAACGTGCTCCTTGAGTCTCAAAGTTTTTAGTCTGGGATCCCGTATCAAAAAAAGTCACTCATTTCGTACTAAGGTTAGTCTTATAAATTGACCATGTCTATAGGCCTGATAAGTTGAATGCACATGTGCCAGCATATAGCTGCTGGAATACAAAATGGTAGCTTGGTGAATATAGATAAAGTCTATATAGAAACAAAACTTATATAGGGAGAACCTATAGATATAGAAAGCTGTCAACCCTTAGAATGTATAGTATTTACTGTCCTAAAACATAAAATAATAGTTAGTTACGCCAGACCTGAGGATTTCTTGTCAAAAATTTTAATTTACGATTCTAGTTCACTTTTTTTGATTTTCTGCTAACTATTAATAATTTTTTTTCTATTATGGAATATTCCAAACAATACAATCTTCCAAAGTGGAATTGGATATTAGAAGAAAAATCAATGATCCATTAAATACCTGAATATTTCATTTAGATATCCACAGCTATTACATATGACCAATAACAGGTTGGTTTTCTTGGACATGTTCTGTGTATATAAAGTGCATATTTTTCTTATAATTTTGCTTGGAAAGCAGTTTTCATGTTCACAAAAGGATGTTGATTCCATTTATGGAAAAAACAAACAAATTTGTTGGAGGAACAATAAGAAATTTGAATATTTGTTCAATAAGTAAGCATTAATTCATAAGATGGGTGATAAATATTCAGGGCGCAGTCTTTTTTATTTATTTTTTTTATATTAAAACATTTTAAATTTTTTATTTATGCCAACATTTCAACCCAAACATGTGGATCATCTGTAGGGCTGAAAATTTTTTAAAATACAATCAGAGATATAATATTATACGACCAATAATGGTAAATAATAAACTATAGTGATTGATGGCACATGAATCTTAACTAATATCACAATACATATATTAAAAATGAAATATGTAAATATTTATACAAAGTAATTTTTTATTTTAAAAAATTTTCAGCCTTGAAGATGAACCACATGTTTGGGTTGAAACGTTGGCATAAATAAAAAATTAAAAATGTTTTTATAAAAAAAAAAATACTGTGTCCTGAATATTTATCATCCATGATATGTAGAACAGTCGACTAACTTCCTTCATTAATTCATAAGATTATGCGATTATAATAGTATTGTTATCCACAACTAATTATAACCATATTGCCATTTATAGGTGTGAATATGCATGCAAATATTTATATTTAAACCTGTAAATTTATTGAAAAATTAATATTTGTTTAATAAATTAAAAGTATTCATTCATAAGATTATGTGAGAATATTTCTATTCGTATGTGAAAATTTTTCTATTCATATCTGTGAATATAAGTGTAATCATTTTTAGAGGCTTAAAGACAAGTGTATTTACTTTTACAGTTGTGAATAAAGCCATATTCATGTTTACAGGTGTGTTTAGTGTTATAAGTACAAAACATCTGTTTTTAAAGTTGTATTCATAGGGATCCATATTTATGAATACATTTTGTATTTATATTTGTACAAGTAGACCCAACTCTGTTTTACATATTTATTCTTCTGTAGGTATTATGGCAATACCCATAGACATGGAGGGATACCTGGTGTTTTCAACTGCCGCTTTACTAATCCATATACTGCAGCTATGACGAAACGTAAGAAAAAGAAACCTACTTCTTTTGTTCCACCACCTTCAGTTTTGCCGTCGAATCACTGTCCTTTACCTTTCTGGTGTAGACCATTGGTGAGTGCTTGCATTATATAACCATCTCAAAACTGTGATTTAGTAGAATTAGTTTTGTAACTGGTATTCCCAGAAGGTTGGTTGTTAAAAAAAATTAATTACTGGGATTGATAGTATTATTGGTAGGAGTAGCTAGCAAAATGAATGGGCTTATTAGTCTTTTTGGCTGACCTTTGACAGTTAATTAGCTGTTGCTATCCTGTTCTGATAAGTGAAGGAATCTTATTTATCTATAAAATTAATATTAACTGAATCTAGACTATTCCAGACGGGTCATACTTGAACTCTTTGCCTTTACTTGCTTGACTGTAGAGATGGGAAATTTGATTATGTTAACTGAATCGATTTTCAACGATTCAATCATTGTGATGAATCCATTCTTGTAAACTATTCCTCGATTGATTCTTTCCATCTTCTTTTTTTCTTTAAATTAAAAAAGAACTTACTATTGAGGAAAAAAAAGACAGTAACAAACATTCTCAAACCTTGTTATTCAGGCAAAATACATTTTTTTTTTAACTGATTGAAATTAAATGTTCTGGTTCAAATATAAACAAATAAAAAGTCACGAATCTTATAAATAGGAAGGAAGATTAAATTGGACAGAAACATTTTTTTTTTTAAGTTTTACATATTAGATTTTGGTCTGTGTATATAAATTGTAAATGAAATGAAATATAATTTTATTATCTTTGACTGATGACCCTATAGAACAAATTATAAGTACAAAATAAATAAAACATGACAATAAATATGTTACATTACAACCATATATTACATTAAATATTTACATAACCATAGATCAATGTTTCTACGTGGATGTAACAGTAACATCGATTTTAGACATTAAACGTTTTTAATATTAATATATCGTCATATCTGCTTGGGGAAGACCAGTAATGCTGAACCAGAAGAGAGCAGTGCTTAAGGGAACTACCATACCAGCTGTATCACCATGGGAAATAAGTCTTTTATAGCGACCAGCCTCCTTTTATTCTGATATGTAATAATTTAGTTTAATTTTACAAACCCATTAAAATGACCTCATCCCCTCCCCTCATCCATCAGAATGAAAGCTTAATGAAAAATATAAGAACTTACAGCTTAAATTGTTCCAAATATCTTAAGAACTGTTATTTCATCCAAGAAAAGGGTTTCTGGTCATATTCCAGGTACCAGACCCCTAAATATTGTACAGTTGAATTTTCTCTCGAAACTTTTTTAGCAGGATAGGAAATGCCTCCAGCTTCTAAATTTACAAAATAAGTAAAAAAAATGAAAATATAAATAAATATTTGTATTTATTTTTTATTGAAATACCTTATTTTCTTGCCCAAATAAAAAATATTTTTGTATGTGTTACATTTTTAATAGAAGTTTGTTTTAATTTATGGGTGTAGGTCTCAGAAGAAAAAAATTCAAGTCCATTGGCCCGCTTGGAGGAAAAGAAACGACAGCAGCTTGTACAATTAGACAATTGGCAGCGATATCCTCAGCAGCTTACACCTGCTTACCTCAGGTACTATTTATTAATGAAAAATGAATTAAGTTTACTCTTTGTGTGCCAGGTCCATTTCTTTCACCTTTTACCACCTGAAATTTTTTTTTATGCAAAATGACATTTTTGTGTTTGATTTACTTCCTTAAATAATACAGAAATAATTAAAACATTGTTTAAGTATGTTTTTTTTATTGCAACAGCTGAAAACTCGACCATGATAAGGAGATAATTTATTTCTCTATGGTTGAGACCATGAATGTTGTGATCAATAAAGAACTATTCTAAAACTATTTGTTTTCTGTACTTTTTGAGTTTTAACTCAATAGGATAAAACTTAATTTGCACTTAACTTTTGAAGTTTAGCTTGAAGAAATTTAATTATAATAATTTAGAACTTTAAATTTTATTTGTTAATAATCATTGTATTAAGTTATGATCGTTTCTTTAAGCCATTGAATAATTTATTATTATGCTTTAAACACAATAAATCGATTAGTTCTTAGCTGAAAAATAACCTTTTACCATTATGGTCTCATTTTTATCTCAGTTAAGGATATCGAACAAAAAAAAAAAAAGAAAAAAAAAAAAAAAAATAGATTGAATAACTAAAAAACAAGTTAGTTTGTTTAATACACACAAAAAGTTATGTACATGCATGAATATTTGTATTGTTTTCATATATCACTGGAATAGCCTGTATTAAAATTAAATTACTTAATTGCCTTTCAACTATGATGTTTGTAGTTGTATAATTTGGCATTTGAAGTATGTAATTTTAGTTTCACTAATGGTACTGATTTTAATAATTCTTTCCCTATCCATTAACCTCTTTCCTCACTTTTATTTAAAAATCATGCCCAGATGTGTTAATTTTAGAAAAAGTATAAATTGTTTGTTTTAAGGTTTCAGGGGTCACTAATGCTTAGCAATATTCGGTTAATAATGGGGTTGATTCTTAATCTGTTTAATTAATTTCTTATTGGATAGTGAACAGTTTTGTCATCAAAAAGTTGTGCGTCATTTTATATTACCTTTCTCTTCCTAGTGAAAATGAAAATTTTTTAATTCATTTCAATTTTTTAAACTTTCTTACCATTACAATCTTACTATCTACTCTTGACTAACAATCTTTGTCTTGCAGAATTCTTTCGTTCGACCAGGTTTGTCTATCTTTTTTATTTTAGTTTTCTCCTCCTTTTCCTTTTTCTCATTACTTTCTTTTCCATATCTGCATCTCTATTTTGTGTATATGAATACATTTCTCATTACATCTTAATTAGATTATTTCACCTTTTTTCTCTCTTTTACGTGGTCAGTATGTTTTGATAAATTTTATAGTATCTCAATTTTCTGTTTACATCTATTATTTCCTTATATAACTTCACATTTCTTTTCTCTATTTTACATTTTATTCTATGATTATCTCACTTCCTTTTAGTATACTTTACATCATATTTTAGCAATTATATCACCCCATTTATGTTTTGTCTACACTTACATTTTTTATCTCATACATTCCATTACTTTTCTTTGTTAACTCATTTTTAATTTCTTATGTTACCTTATTTTGATTATTTTTATTTCATTAGTTCCTACTTTGTTGTCGTTATTATTTATTTCTTAATTCTCTGTTACTGTTATTATTCTATCTACTTTATTTTACTTTAAGTTTATTCTACCTACATTTTTTTTAGACTATACCTTTCTCCTACGTATTATTTTTTTTATTATTTATTGTTTATAGTTTCTCATACCTATTGTTATTTGGTTTTCTCTTAGCCCTAATGAAGGCTTGAACTTTGGGCCAAAGCGTCGGCAAAAATAAGTATACTTATATTTAGTTTTACTTTTTTTTACTGATCACCCCAACCATTCTTCTCTTCAATTATTCACTACAGTCAACCATCAATCCACAGTTATTTTATTCTTGACTCAGAATGGCTCCTTCTTATTTTATTCTTGACTAAGAATGGCTCCTTGTAAAAATAATATAGGGTATGAAGAACAGAAACTGAAAAACAAAAAATCTTATGCAGTGTGCACATCACACAACTTTTACTTACCACCTTACTTTACTGTGAGTAGAAATAGGTATTTTCTTAGAAAATAAAAAAAATAACTTTATTCTGGGACAATGTCCTCTGAAAATAACAGAAGGTTACAGAACAAAAGAAATACTTCTGGCCAGAAGAACTACATTAAATAATAAGAGTTACATAAAAAAGACTTATGTATACTTACAAAACCCAACTAAAGAAACTATATACAAAATACTTAGAATTAATACTTAGTTTTCGGGTCCTTTTTGTGAATCTGAATAAAAATGGATTCTTTCCATTCTTCTGACAATTTCTCATTCTCCCATATCTTTTTAACCAAAAAATGTATTTTATAAGCTCCAGCTTTCCTGCATGCCTTAATAAGTTTACTAGAAATATCATTGGTCCCCGCTGCTTTATAAGATTTTAATTTTCCGATAGCTATTTCAACTTCCTCCTTACTTGGTTCTTCTATTAACGGTTCGGCACTCTGGTACTCAAAAGGAGGACACAAATCATTATTTCTCGTATTTAAAATATTATTGAAGTGTTTCTTAAACTTATTCAATATGTCATAGGGTCAGTGAGGATATTGTTATTTTATCCCTAATTCCAGTCCTTACGGGTCCTAAACGTTTATGTGATTTATTTATACCTTTTTACATATCTTCTAAGTTGTTTTCGATTCTATTATTATCTATATTTATTATTTTATTTTTAAGGTACTCCTTTTTTTTATTTTTGAACAATTTAGTAGTTTCATTCTTTAAGGCCCGGAAGTATTCAAGATTGTTTTAATGTTGCTTCAGCACAGACCGAAAACATATTGATCATACAGGAAAGAAAAGCTGCTGGATAAAACACAAGAATAGCTGTGAATCATCATGGTACCCTACAAGGAAAACATAACAATTAGGCCCAATGGAAGGACACACCTATCCAATGTCTGAGAACTGCATGAGTGCTGTACTGTACCTACAGGAGGTTGAAGAGAAGGGCTGGTCAATTTTCCGCGTGTTCTCTCAAATGTGAAATCAATTTAATGAGGAAACATTATTCAATGCTTTGCCCTTGGGCCATCCTTTTTTTTTTTTTTGTTTTTGTTTCCCCTTTATTGCCTTTAGGCAACACAGGGTTTTTCCTGAGCCGGGGGGAGAGGGTGGAGGAAAATTATGCTAAATTGAAAGTCCCACCAGACACCAGGATTTGAACTAATAATTATTTATTTATCTCAAAACTTCCGTTATCAGGTTGCCAGGCAATGCACAGTGCTGTGCACACGTGTTAGCACACTCTGCCATCCCGTCAGATTACAAATATCAGGCTTACTTTAGCCTAGTTTCTCTTTATAGAATTTTTTCAAAACTCAGTGCTTTTTGAAAATAATCTATTAGTCCCTATCTTTTGAAACATTGAGTTATGGTTCTTTCCTGCTTAATTGATTTACTTTTGTGTGTTATCTTAAGCTGATCATGAAATAAATTGCTTGATGATTTTTTTTTTTAATGTTTCTCTTGATTCTATGAGTTTTGTGTTTCATATTCATTTTCATAAAGTTGTTGTCTTATTTTTAAATTTTTTTTCAGGGAAACATCAGATGCCCCTGCTACAGTCACTCTACCTCGGGAAAGAGCAAAAAAAGGTCGTCCTCGGTATTATCCTCCTCCAAATTCAAGTGATGGTAAGTTATTCTGATTCAAAAGAAAATTATTTTGTTTATATGCAAGAGTTGTTGAAATAGATTTTCTTTTGTTTTTTAATTGTTATTTATTTTTAATATATTATAATATATAAATATAATACTAGCATAGGGCACAGACTTCCCATTCTGGTTGGGGGGGCATTGGACCTCCCCAAAAAAAGTCGGGATTTTATATTATGCATAAAAATTATGCGTTATAATTAACATAATTATTATGAAATGAACAATCTAATACTATATATAAAAATAAAATTATATAAGTTTATATATTAGTTTTTTTACTTTCCCTTACCTATATATGTAATATATAGTAAGGGTAAGTATTGCGATCATGAAAATTTTCGAGTCTGGGTTTTCATTGGAAATACATGTTTTGAGGTCTCCTGAGTCCAAATAACCAAGTCCTGCAAAATGGTCTGTGTGTGTGAATGTGTATGTATGTTATCAGTCTAGCTGAAAAACGAAAAGTTGTATGAAAGTGAAATTGCATATTCTAGCTTTTTATAAGCTTTCAATGTTACAGCAACATTTTCATCGAAATCGGCAAACCAGGAGTGGTACTTTATATAATAGATTTAACAAATTTTTACGATTTTCTCAAAACCGGCTCTAACAATTTTGATTAAACTCAGTATATCAGTGTATTATTAAGCAGTTTTTAATATAATGTAGGATTTATTCTCGTTGATGTTCTCTAGCAGGGTTTAAATGGCTAATTTTCAATATTGGCTTCCTCTAAAGTACCTTTATTTGAAATAATTAACCATTTTACATTAATCTTTGGTATAAAAAATATAAAATATGAAAGAATTTAATTAATAACTAAAGGAGAAATAAGAAATTGTAATGGATAGTAGTTGTAATAGAGGAATCAAAGGAATACGAGCTCGTCCGAAAGATTACAACAGACGTCCATACGTAATATAAGCTTTATATAATATGGGCTCCAACAATATTATGTCCATATACATATGCTATCATATGCTACATATGCTATTTTCATAAATGCTATCATTGGTATTATTTAATATTTAATTGTATAGAATATAGCATTATAAAAATTAAAATTTGTATATATAAGGGTATTTAAACAAATAAAAATACCCAGGATGAATTGTAAATAAATACAGCATACATAATTTTTACTTTCACTTGTCAAAGTCAATTTTTTCCAAACCAAATTCAACCTTTTCCATTACAAATTCAACTTTTTATCTTTTTTTTTTCTTCAATTTTTCGATATATGGGTTATTTATCGTATGCGTGATTTTTTAAAATACTATCGATTTTAAGATTACCCAGCTGAATTTTGAATTATTTTATCTTTTCAGATTTATTTGAAATAAGAATCTAGTATTATGTTATTGCATACAGAGTCTTTGAAAATACTATCGATTTTAAGATTATCTGGTCAAATATTGATTTATTGAATCTTTTTGTATTTATTCGATATAAGGGTCAAGTATTACA